CCGAACGAGTCCCACTACCAGACAGACAGCGGGACTTCGCATGAACTGATACCCGAGTTTAGTTCCACGAGTTAGACGCGAGGTCCCGCTGCCCGCTAAACCATCAGAAAACATGGCCGCCAACAGAGACTAACAATCCAAAATGCCGAACGGACTTTATACGGCAGCAACCGTCCGTTCTGTTCGTGGGATTGGAGCGCCATTTGCCTGTTTAATGCATACGAACGCGAGCCTTTAGATGAGTGGTAGAATGAGTGGTTTCCCTGTATTAATGTAAAAGTTATAGATTTTCATGCAGTTTTCTGGGACATAATAAAACGTGGTCTTTTGTGCGCTTGGAGATAATTAGATTGTAAAACCGTTGGCCTCATTATCTCCAAGCTGGGCGGGTACTAATTCAAATAATACACTGTGTTGTGATTGGATATTTGTCTGTACTGTACCTGTACTCCATCAGGTCCACAGGGGGCTGTCCTTGGACCTGAGGAATCACATAAATTGCCATGCTATGTGCCAGTAAAGCCAGTTCGTTTTGACCCTCAACTTGCAGCCTCGACTCATGTTGTAGGGATCTGGGATATTGATGCTTATATCGTGCTTGGGGATATTCTACATTTGCAGCTTACTACTGAAAGACCTCCGTTCGACTCTCTGCAGCAGGAACCAGGACATCCAAGCGATCAACCCTCCTGCTAGACCGGGGGCAATCGTAACAGTCCCTACATACTGCTGCTCCAACATACCTATCCTCCCTAATACACAAGTTCGTCCTGTCAAGGCCCCTGTGCTCTGCTGAAAACTTGCATCTATTCTCTGTCTGTACTCCCACATCTGATGCTCGCCTCCAAGACTTCTCCAGGGCTGCACCTTTTCTGTGGAACTCCCTTCCCTGTTAGACTTTCACCAAGTCTCGAAATCCTTAAAAAACACACTTCTTCAGGAAAGCATATCATTTAAACTGTTAGTGGGTTTTCATTCACCCACACTCCATGACTTCTCTCCTGCAAATGTAAAGAATAACCTACTAAATTCTCAGTGAGTACTTTTCTAGAAACCTATTTCATTACCCCTACTTATACCATTTGTGTCACTATATCCCACTCGCTCTAGCATGTAAGCTCATTGAGCAGGGCCCTCAACCCCACTGTCCCTGTGCGTCCAACTTGTCTGGTTACAATTATGTGTCTGTTTGTCCACCCATTGTTCAGCGCTATGGAATTTACTGGCGCTATATAAATCATAAAATAATAATTACAAGAAAACAAAACAAAAACATCGTCTTTTCTGATGTCATTGGAAATAGTTCACAAACCTTCAAATTGTAGTGAACACATTGCCAAACTTTGTTATAGTTTATTTACACCTGAATTCTACAATTTAGATTTACATTTATTGGTATTCATTATATGGGGAACATACTCTATTTTATGTTGAGTCCTCTTCATCTACTGTTCCCATAGGTCATATGTGTTTTGTTAGAATGAAAGGTTTGTCTTGTTTACCTGCTTTACAGAGCTGCAGGATATATTGATGCTACACAAATAATTGTAATTGATGTTTTAATGAGAATTTCCTTTCCAAGATTAAAACCTAATTAGAGGTTCTCTCCAATGGGTATGAACTCTGATTACATTTTCCCTGCTCTATACAATTTTTCTTGACTCAGCTGGTTTCCAAGACTGTCTATTGTCCTCTCTGTATCACTTGTCTCCGTAATACCTCCTCTAGATCTCAAACTGCACTGCATCCTGGCCACAAAATGGCCTGCCTGCCTGCCTGCACTGTACTCTACTGACCCTACATACTGGGTTTGCACTCATGACAAAGAATATTATGAACTTAATTCTTACACACTAATTTTAGAAAAACTAAAATCAATGAGAGGATATTTATTATCAGAGAAATCTGTAATCTGTGAGGGGTGTTTGTCCCACCAGTTTTAAAGACATGAGTATTTAGTTACCATGTACTATCAAATCCACCATTTTATAGGATCTCTAGTCCCCAAGTAGAATCTCTGCAGACCACTTACTTACCCCCAGAGGAAAGGAGTCAGAATAATACTACACATCTAGCAAGGGCACCAACATGTGTCTTCATTTTGGAAGGAGTTGAAATTGATACTCCACGCTAACCAGCAGCTATGATTCTCTACTTAATGAACATGTCCCTGTCCATTTACAAAAAAAGAATCCTTCTCAGACCCTTTATTGAATGTGGCAAAGTATCTTGTTCCTGCTTTGTGGAGGCAAGAGACCAATAAAATGCTCATAGGCTAATAAGTTCAACCATGGAAGCCTTGATTGCTGTTCACTATGATAGGAAGGACAGAGTCCACACCACATGGATCCCATTGACAGAATATATCAGACCATATTTTACTTTCCCCTCTATGTTGACTAGATTTCTATTTTTATATATATTCACACACAATCTTTTTCTTATTTTTCCTTTCCTCTTCCAATAACTGGGTGGCAAATTAAGTATCACCTGGTCCACCCTGCTAAAATGTGTTAGAATGTGATAATTGCCAAGTTCCTCAATACCCAATAAGGCCAAGATGCTTTAATACCAGAACTACAAAGACAAGCGCATATGTTGAAATGTGACCCAGTGAGAATTAAAACCATATTGGGGGGGGGGGGATAAGGGTCTTGCACATATTTCACTCCCCCATTTTCTCATTTTGTAATGTTACAAATGTATCAGGCAAAAGTAGTTACAGAATCTATATCACATGAAAGGTTGCATGCCCCCATGTCATTTAGACAGTACTGTGGGGCATGAAAAGCGTTTAGTGATTGTACGGTGTCTGCAATACAGCTTTGTAAGCTTTTTTTACTTTCAATACGTTCTTAGAACATTTCATTTTTCATTAACTTGTTTGATTTTGTTATCTTGTATTGCTTCTTGAATAATATTCACTCTGTTAAGGCACAAGTGAGCAGAAACTTTTTTGTCCATTCTCATTTTTTCTTTCAATGCATTAACCTGGGCTCTTGCTAAACTAAAAGGGTAATCCAGACAAGGATCCCATGCTCACTGTGCATAGTGGGGTGTCAGCTACACTTCCCTGCTGACACCCAAAAAAGGCTGCAATCATCATCTATAGTTGATGCATCTCATGCAGGGAGAACTTACCACCTTTTGGTTCTGGGCTGCCCTTAGAGGAAGGTCAGTCTGATATGCAAATGGTATAGGTTCAACTCTATTCTGTAACGGCACAAGTTAGCAAAACATTTTTGACACCTGAGTGGGGATTTACACAAAGGGCAAGCTGCATTTATTTAAGCTTTTGTCCATACTTTGAGTCCCAGTATTCATTGACTGAAGTGGGTATTTGGTGTAGAGGAGATCATTATATAGGACCTGTTGCTGGATGTTGTGTTAAACACATTATGTACATTTTGTATTCTGAAAATGAAAATATCTATTCCTCTACTTGCATCTGGTGTTTCTCAAACCTTGCCTTATTTACGGTGTCCGGGGTAGCATTGGTGTGTTGCTTGGACCTTCTTGTCCAAACGGATTCCTGATTTGCACATTTCAATCACTTCTTAATGCAGCAAACGCTCATGTGAGACACAAGGAACTAGTTTTAGGCCTTTGTGTGGTGTGTACGACGGTTATTACTAGATTTTTGAAGTATAGATCCCAAATCTTAATATTCCAGCAAATAGGTGGTACACCAAGGTGCTGGAGGATATGACAGAGGGTCCTGAGGAGCCATTTGTATAGTTTCCATAAAATGCATCTCATGCTTGCTATCTCCGTTTCTGCTTACACATAATCTTCCCATGATGGTATTTGGATAGAATTTTATTTTTAATTTTTTTTTTTTTAACACAAACGTGCTTGTATGGTCTATTAAAGTTTGAAGATACATTTTTTTTTTTTTTTAAATATTCTTGTGTTCACAATCAAAATAGCTTAAGAGACAAAGGGGCACACTTTTGCACATTGGCTGAGAGTGGCAAGCTGACACTAGAACTGCACTACAGGGCTTAGCTCAGGAGGGCCTAAAAGAAGCCCCTGCTTGTCCCCGGTGAGAGGTGAGAAATGGAGTCTGGCAGACCCAAGGTAAGATGTCAAACCGTTTTAAAAAGGTCTGACCGCTTAAAGAGGGAGGGGGAGCACCACGGCACTCCAGGAACTATAACTACTGTAGTGGTTACGGTGCTTGTAGAGTTCCTTTAACAGGTTTACTCCAATGGGTATTAACTCATTCTTAGATTTGCTTGAGTTTGTGATAACTTGAGGAGATGAGAACACAGACCCAATACCAGTGTCACTTTTTTTCAAACTGATTTCAATCTCTGTATTTTAGGTCAGGCTTGAAATACGCATCTATTGCTGGTCATAATTAAACATGATACAACGAGAAACAAAACATAATGCATCACCAGACCTATACCATAACTCCTAAATTCTGGAAGTGTCTAATTTGATTACAATTCATAGTGTCCATATACACATAGTCTAAGAGCAGCAAATATTTAAGCATTGAAATTACTTAGCAATGTTGTAATCAATTAGAACGGTCATTGTTACAGAACATTGTTTGTTAATGGTTATTGTGTTCAGTATTTAACATCGGTGACACATTGCTAACAAATCTCTTACTTTCACCAACTTTTTTGTTTAAAAATAACAGTGGGTATAGATACTTCATCTAGTTTACTTTCAGTTGTGACTTTTAAGGAATATATATTATTAGCATATCAGTCAATTCAAGGGAAGTTAGTTACCCAAATATATGAATTAGTACAAAGTAATAACCGGATCCTTGATACTATAAAGGTTATTGCCATTTAACACCCACTTTTCACATTCTCAGTTGATTCAACTGAATACTTTTTCCTTATTCTTCTATATCCCTACTCATGCTATCCATGATTAAAACCCATTCTTGTTTTCAAGTCTAGACTAATGTCCTATCAGATCAACCTCCACGGATAGCAAATTGGATCTTTTAGAAAAAACAGGCACACATATGCATATTTAGGCAGAACCAACCCATGCTTTTATTTCCATTGCATATAAAAAATTATATGAAGATATTGACGTACAGTACTATCCCATAGGCTGTTAAAGAGGCTAAGAAACATTGAAATTAATTTGCAGTGTTCACACTGGTTGCCATTCTACTGACATACCAAAAAGAGGAAAAAAAAATTAAAAGAGAGAAAAGAAAAATAAATGAAAATCAAACAAATGATGTCGGATTGTATCTCATTTTAGAATCCCCTTTTTTTTTTTTAAATAATGTTTAAAACCAACGCAATCAAAATTCTTTGGACCAGGGCTGCTAAAAATCTACAGTTTGTGTGTCAAAAAGGAGGCTCTGATCACCTATGAAAAAGAATCTCCCCTTTCACTGAACAATCACCTACATCTCTGGCTGGGCATTAATGGAATGAAGGAGAGCTATTCATATGTTGTGATAGGAAATTGAGAACCAAATGGTTTAAAATGGCCAAAAGTAAGTGGGAATAAAGTTCCAAAGGAGCCTTTTGGGATACAGTCATTACTCGTCTAAAATATGCTAGGCCAGTAATGGTCAAGCTTTGGCACTAGAGCTCTTATACACCTATATAGCTATCATCGGAAACATAGTCCACGAGGACAGATTAGACATCTGTGCCTCAGGCAAATTGTGAGCTTGTGTTGATATTATAGCTACAAAATGTTGTAAATAGTAATTTGAAGTTGACTGCAAGATATTATTGTACCCCAAAAGGCTGATAAGAGGGATGTCCAAATGGTAGACCACAAACCGCTGTAGAACAGTATTAAAACTGGCAAAGTTTAAGACCGGTTTAGTTCTAAAACAGCTAAGAATCTAACCTTTGGCTTCTGGTCTACAGCATATACACTATATTTGCTCTAGTGTAACTGATTTTTCCTTACATAGAGTTGGGAACAAACACTGACCAAGGCTTTGTGTCTCAAAGAAAACAAAAAATAAATTAAAAGGTTGGACTCAACTCCCTCTCTTACATTATTTTCTGATTACACAAGCACATTTCTTTATAATGCCTAGGAAGATTCATGTATCATATAAATATTATAGTGCATCTATATTATTCTATACAATTCTATCTACACATCAGATCCTTTACAAAAACGAACAAAACCAGAAGAACTTTGGATTTTAAAACACTAATACTAGTGTCGTTTTTATATAACATAATAGAAAATATTCAAGAGTTGTCTATACACATGCAGCATAGCTAATGCTAATTTCAGCTACAGAAGGAGTATTATATCTCTATTATCATACATTGGAGGTGCCTTGAGGTGTTGTGAGGTGTAGACATTAAATCTGGGTTTATGTACAGTTCAAACAAAATATATTCACACAGACAACCCATAATTGCCAAAAATCAAGGGCTATTGTATCTGAACATCAGACCTATTGATATACGCAGTTTACATTTTCTGTACGACAATACAATTCTACAGATAAAGTTGCTGGAGTCAGAAATCTTGCTTTTTTTTTTCTAAATGTGTCGCAGCTTGCAGTTTAGAAATAAAACATTTCTCTATTGATACAAGTAGGGGATGCCGATGACCTGCTAGTTTTGAATTCACTTTACAATTAAATTGACAACGGTCTTGTGAAGTCAACTGCAAAGCAAGATGGCTGCTCTTTATCTATAAAATAATATTACACCTGCATATGCCAGCATGTCATTTAATTTCATGATTCAAAATAGTTAAAATTTAGCAGGGCAAACAAGGGCTTTCGTGAAATATGTAATAAAATGAGCATTTAAAATCTAAAGGACCAATGGCATTTTAAGTCCTCATCAAAATATGGTTGCTAAAGTTCTTGTACCAGCCTAGAATACACCTCTTAGCAGTGACAATTTTATACAGCCCTGCTGATGTTAATAGAGGGATATTCCACATTGATATAAGACTTAGAAAGACTAAATAATCAGGACTGAACTTTATATGGTCATTAGTCCTTAAAGGGGTTAAATGTCATTTTCCAATCATATAAATTCATTTCTCAGTTGATCGAACTGGCAAAGTGTCCAGAAGAACTAAGACATTCAGCACTACCAGATACTTTCATTATTTGTGCAGGAACCCCAGAAGGGCACAAACACTAATCAACTTTCTATATGTTCAGCCTAGATCCATCAGCCGATTAAAGAATTTAATGTTGAAGTGTATGGACAGAAAAAAATGTAATGCCCAGCCATTCTCTCTTAACATTCTCTCATCTAAATGCAGCAAAACACAATAAAATATATTGAAATTTAAGGCACAGCCCTGGCACCAAAGACCTGCAGCTTTAAAATTTATGGATTTTTTTTTTTTTTTAAACTTTTTTTTTTCCTTCAAATTTTCCATAAAGAAGCTCTAAGGTGACCAAGTATAATACAGAAGAAAAAAAAAAAAAAAGATTTACAGGGAGTAAATATACAGTATATTCATTCTCTCACCAAGAGTTTCATTATATAAGAACACCACCCAGTTACAGATGATGTCATAGTAAGAACTGGTAATTTACAATGAACATTATATATGTACATTACAATAAATACATGGTTGTAAACAGAGACAAACAAGACTTTGTATTACAGGTAAGGTCATCTGGTGAGAATAAAGAAATGCATGGCACAAATTAATACAAAATAAATATGCTTCTAAAAAGAATTGACACAGCTTTCTGTAAATCCATTTCAAGTTATTTGTTTTTTGTCTTTGAATGCAAACTGTTGTACCTGCTGTATAATCCTCCATGAAAAAAAAATGAGGACGACCCACGATGACAAACAGAAAGCCTTTTGCAGAGAACAGTATCTTGCAAGCTAAAGTATACTGTTACGCAAATAAAATGTATCTATATAGCACTGCCAAATGGGTTGCACTTTATATATATATATATATATAAAAACCAAAAAAAAAAAACAGAAAGCCACTTGTCAAATGTATAACCTTTTGAGCTCCAGAGGAACGCATCGCTATCAACTAGCACTCAAATGGTTAAAGTGGCGTGTAAGGCTACTGCACACTTTGGCAAAGGTGAAAAAAAATAAAATTAAAATAAATAAAAGATTGTACAGTGCATTAGATCCCTGGATCTACTAAAAGTATGTATTCATGTATCGTTGATTGTCCATGGATGATCTGTGTTTTCTTTCGAGTGAGTGGTACTATATATATATATTTTTATTTTTATTTTATTTTTTTCAGTTTTATTTGAATGCGGTGACATGTTTCTTAATATGATGTAATTTCCATTAGTGCAGTTGTTAACCCTTTCAGGTCTATCTTTATTTTTGGAAATAATATTGCTTTGTTTTTCATTGTTACATTCCAGGCACTCCATGGGTAGGAGGAAAAAAAGGGTCAGAATGGAGAAAAAAAATAAACTAACTAGACATGCCAGACAGGGCTTGCTGGAGGGTAGGCTGCAGAAAATGAAACGTTTTCTAGGTAATAACTGAAATATCATCAGAATGCACACAAAAAATAAAAAAATAAAAAAATAAAAATATCAATAAGACAATTAAGGCTAAGCCAAAGGCTGAAAACTTTCGTAAAGACTTTTAGCTGAACTTTGCTTATCTTGCTTTCCCATCCGATACATATTTCAGGCTGGATTATAAACATGTTTTTTGCCCGCCTGCAGCTAAATGCATTTTTACAAGATGCCATAAGACATCAAGTTCCTTATGTCAGAGGGTTAAAAACACTGCATGTACACAACCCTGCTCTGCCGAGGTTAAATCAGTTTGAGAAATGTTGTGCTAAATATTGTATACAGGTTATTTTCCTTGACAGATCTTTTCCTATGACATTTTTGGTTTATCTAAGTGATTTAAAGGCATAGTAAAGGCATGAAAACAACTTTAGCTTAATGAAGCAGTTTTGGTGTATAGACCATGCCCCTGCAGTCTCACTGCTGATTCCTCTGACATTTACGAGTTAAACCACTTTTGTTTTCCTTTTTTGCAACCCTAGCCATACACCCATTGGCTGTGACTCTCTCTCACAACCTGCATGGGAACAAAAAGGGTTTCATTTTCAATCGGATGTTAACTTGCTTTTTGTTTTCTCCTGCAATGTAAAATGAATTTAAATCACACACAAGAGAATCCCACAGGGTCTTAAAGGATATTAACAGGAAAGGACATAAAAAAAATCTAAAATAAATAGAATGTGCAATAAATGAAGTTTAAACATCTCTCTCTTTACATGAAGTGTTTAGGAAGGCTGTGCAAGTAACATGCAGGGGCAGTGTGACTAGGGTTCATAAACAAAGTAATTGAACTTCTAAATGGCAGTGAACTGAGCAGTGAAAATGCAGGGGCATGACCTATACACCAAAACTGCTTCATTAAACAAAAGCTGTCTTGGTGCCTATAGTGTTCCCTTAATAACAAAATCAAAGAAATGTGGAAAAGTGCCAAGTTGGAAAACTGTCAAGGAACTGAAAATGAATTATTATGAGAAGTTATTTGTAGCTGGAATAGCTGTACACTATAATACTATATCTATAGTATACAGCTACATACCAAGACTGCAGAAGCTCATTTCTCCACAACGGTAGATCACAAAGGCAATTAAGTTTAAAAAAAAAAAAAAAAAGTTAAAAAGCTTGAGGCATCCTGATACTGACGTCAGTATGAAACCTGGATCTTGAGATTATTACGTTTAAATGGAATGCACACATTGTACTTTTTGGGCCAAAAAACACACAGCTCATGAAACAACGTTATACTTATATCCAATAAAGCACAAATTGCATCGGGCAATACATAAATATTGTGTGAGACCTATACAAGAAAATGGTTTGACCTTCCATATTGTATGGGAAAGTGCCCTATGCATTCTTTCTGTGCTAATCAAAACATTTAAAATAGGAATAAAAACCATATTGTACTGAAAGGGACAGTGTTCTAAGAAAGCGTATAAAAGAATGAAGTTCTACAGTTCAATTAATTGCTATGAAATTCTAAGGTGCAAAAAACAATTCAGAACCAGAAGCAGTCACATCCAGTGTAGCACATTAATTGTACTGAAAACTTGCAAGTTACTCTTTGGAGAACAAAAAAAAAAATTCAGTGGTCGATGAATTTCCAAATGTACTTTCTTTAAATAGAATACCTCAATATATTTAATAATAAAAGTAAGCTCTACAAAAAAAAAAAAAAAAAAATTCTGTTTCACATATGATACAAAATGTGGAGTATTTTGCAGCTTGCAAAAGCTGCGTGCTCATGTTTTTTTAGTCATTGTATCAGGAAGACTTAAAATTAGAAAATGATGAAATTTCCACAGCTCATCCTGATGCTACACCATCCCATGATGTGTCCCATCATTAAAATCCTCCACGTTCCACTACAAAGATATTGCACTCCTGTACTGATCACTCCTGGTGTTGACAACTATCTTGCGAAGCTAAAGCAAGCAAAACTGCATATTTCAGTTTCTCGATACTTGCACTCCACAGGAAACTCTCCAGAGCCTTGTGTGGCTCGGTGGTTTAACCAAGGGTTTTCCAGATTTGCTTTTCCTAAAAGCTGTGGAAATGGATTTCTGGTAATATTCCTGAGTGCCAAAACGGAGTAAATATGTCAGTTTTGATCAACAAACATCCTGGCAGATGAATGTGAGGTGTGAGCATGGTTGTGGCATGTTTCATGCACTTTGGAAACCATTTTGCTAAAAAACAAACCAACAAAACAAAATAAAACAATTAGGCTGGGACGAGAGCTTTCACACTGTTACGTGTCAGGAGAATGCTCTCCTTCTAGTGGGCTAGATTCAGTCTGACTTTCTTCTCCTTCCACTTGGTCATCAAGAGGAATTTCAGCAGCTTCCGAATCCTGTGCACAAAGAGTTTTTGGGTCACTACAGAGGGTGTCTTCTTCCACTGGACTCACATTGTCCTTTTCTGTATCAGATTCTCCATCTTCTTCCAGGGTTAGTTCAAACTGGAATTTTTCAGTTTGGCCTTGTCTACCTTCTTCCTGCTCATCGGGGGCAGGTGTTGGACTTTGAGGAATTGTGCTCTGGTACCACTCTCGATTGTCTTCCAATGTATCCAGGATATCCTGGGCATCTGGGTGGACAAGGTCTGCCCAGGTCTCCCACAAAGGATGAACAATGTAGTCTATGAATCCCACCTAAGTACAAATAAAGGAAAAATAAGCAAAATTAAGGTGTTTGTGGCACAGTCAAGTTGAAAAAAATCAAAGATAACATCCTAGATCTAAAGTAACACAAAATGCTTTCAGAATAATAAAAGCCTTTTCAAAATGGAAATAGATTATTTTATTGTTTTGGCTATTCGTTTTTTACAGATGTATGGCTTTGAAATAGGATGGAATAGAATAGTATAGTATAGAACTAAATATTATTTAAATACTAAATAACCTAGGTAAGACAAACAGAAAGATTGAACATCCATGAGTTTCACTAACTGAACACTCAAGTGAAAATTATATTTTTGGATGGAATAATAAACAGACATTATTTTATCGGAAAAACAAGGAATTTCTCCAATTTTGACTGTGGCACCAACCTAATCTACAGTGGAGCCCTCCAGCCTAACATATGTCCATTCTGTAAGCAATGCTGAATCCATTGGTTCCTTATTGGGATAGCATTCCCACGGTAAAATCAAGTTTTCAAGCAAGGTAACAAAACACAATAAAGAACATACAGAGACTGGTCAAGCAAAACATGATCAGCTTGACTGTCACTTTAAGGGGACAAAATATTAATCTATAAGCATGTAAAGCATTTCATCTAACTCTATTGGTTCCCAAATCTGTGCTGTTTCCCATTCAATCAGCAACAAAATTTAAAAATAAATAAATAAAAAGTTTATTGCTTTATATGTAGTCATCTAAAAAATCATTTTTCACATTAAAATACAAAATAAGGGGGCGGGGCCAAGCCAGCAAACTGAGCAGATGCACGTAAGCAGATTGCTCTACTTGCCAATTTCAAACATATATTCGCCAAACCCGAAAAACCAAGCAAACAAGGATAAACTACCTACATCAGGAGTGACCCGGTGATCAACCCGATATCTGAGCCGAATGTTTCGGTGACCAAGATGGACAGCCGCGGCCTACTGGTGGCGGAATCGGGGAGAGACGGCCACTCTCCTCGTCCAAACACAAGAGGTACAAGCTCACCGAAGCCCTGACCCCCCCTGGATCGGAGGGGGTCATCTCGGTCCAGCCCCAAGGGGCAACCTCTCTACCCGGGGCCAAGGGGCAGAATCCAGCGAGCAGCGAGAAGCAACGCAACCAGGCAACACGGCCGCCGCCACATGTGCTCCAAACATGGAGAAAACCAACTTCAAGGCCAGGCTAAATGAAATATTCGCCAGGTTTTGAAGGAAGATACGGGAGCAACAAGCCAAAGCACACAAAATCGCCCTGCTGGTGCCGGTAAACCCCCAGTGCGAGCGCACACCTCCTCCTGCAAACAAAACCCGTAAACAGTGCTGGGGACGGCAAAACAGAAGAACCCGAAAGCCCAAACAACTAACACCGCCAATGGCGGCAACTCATCCACGCAAGCGCCCAGAGAACTTAAACTTACCTGAGCGACAGCAACGGCATACTGGGCCAATCAAGGGCCGGACACGGCCGAAGGACCCCGAACAAAATACACCGCAACTCCTCAGCCGACGCCACCATAAGGCAGACCCCCACCCAGGCATACCCCGGAGGCGGCAACACCACCCACAGTACATCGCCTTACACGGATGCCCAACGCTAGCAGGTCCGCTCCACCGAAATGAGACTCTGATCTTACCGTAGCAAAGACCCATGGCAGGGTAGGAGAGCAGCTGGAACCCGGCTCAATACCGCCAAAAGGCATTGGATAACTTAACCTGGCATCACCAGGGTGCGCAGAGTCTGGGCCTTTAGTTCTCATAGCTCCATTAGCCCTCTGCGGACTGGTTCTGAGCCACATGACTGCGCTACATTATCATTATTGTTATCTGTAATGTCTCTGCCTCACCTAAAAACCCAGTGGTAGTTAATCGCTTGTACATAATCACATGTCACACTCACACTGAATATGCCTGTAACCAACTCACATAGTGCTCCTTGCTATTATGTCATTTAACTTCCTTAAATCTATCTTGTCACATATTTGGCACAGAGCAACGGATATTCACACCATAGCGACACCTGTACACACAATCAGCCCTAGGGACGTCACTGATCTCGCAGGCTTAAACTATGCTTAATATTTACATGCTACTGCTATTACGCAAAATGTCTATCTACCCCTCGTAGTTATCAGCCTAGATGAATCCTATGTTATAGACATGATCTCAAAAATTTTGCTGTTAATGCTTGCCATGTTACTGATTATCTTGTAATATTCCAATGGCTTGTATCTGCTGTCGTGGCGATATAAGCATGTATGTTACTCTAAGCACTACAAAAAATAAAGAATTAAATAATAATAAAATGCAAAATAAAATAATTATTGAAAATATAATGTTGAAAAATGCAAAGTTATGCACTTCGGCGTAAAGAATACACAAGCAACGTATACCCTTAATGGAAGCGAATTAGGGATAACAACACATGAAAAGGACTTGGGAATTGTTATAGACAACAAACTATGCAACAATGTGCAATGTCAATCAGCAGTGGCCAAGGCCAGTAAGGTATTGTCATGCATGAAAAAGGGCATTCATTCTCGGGACAAGAATATAATTTTGCCTCTTTATAAATCACTGGTAAGACCCCATATTGAATATGCTGTGCAATTTTGGGCACCTGTTCTAAAGAAGGATATTATGGCACTAGAAAAAGTGCAGAGGCGGGCTACAAAATTAATAAAAGGAATGGAACACATCGGCTATGAAGAAAGGTTAACAAATTTAAACCTATTTAGTTTAGAAAAACGTCGCCTGAGAGGGGATATGATAACATTATACAAATATATTCGGGGCCAATACAAACCATTGTGTGGAAATCTATTCACAAACCGGACTTTACATAGGACACGAGGCCATGCGTTTAGACTGGAAGAAAGAAGATTTCGTCTAAGGCAAAGGAAAGGTTTTTTTACTGTAAGAACAATCAGGATGTGGAATTCTCTGCCTGAAGAAGTGGTTTTATCAGAGTCCATACAGATGTTCAAACGGCTACTAGATGCATACTTGCAAGAACAGAATATTCAAGGATATAATCTTTCAATGTAGGGTAATAACTGCTTGATCCAAGGATAAATCTGACTGCCATTCTGGGGTCAAGAAGGAATTTTTTTCCTAGCTTGTTGCAAAATTGTGCTTCAAACTGGGTTTTTTTGCCTTCTTTTGGATCAACAGCAAAAAACAAATGTGAGGAAGGCTGAACTTGATGGACGCAAGTCTCTTTTCAGCTATGTAACTATGTAACTATGTAACTATATAGTTTCAGAATTAGATTCCACAACTCAAATTTTGGAGGTTAAAGAATAAATCCCATTTCTAACAATGAACTATGACTCAAATCAAGTCATTACAAATAACGTATTAAAACTAATAAAAAATAAAATAAAATAAAAAATAAAAAAGATCTAATTTGTACCTGTGATTTTTCAACAGATGCATTGTGCTTATCACACATAGGACTAATTTCCATCCCTCTATCTCTTTCCCGGTCTCCTTGTCTGAAGAATTCCTCCATTATTCTGTCTGTCCAGTGCCGGTACAGCTGCAGAGGTTTCGTTGGATTGCTAAGATCTGCACAATGCACCATATTCTGAAGAACCTAAAATAGACATAAAAATATTGGACAATGGTCACCCGCTGGGTTATTACACAGAAGGCAAAATGTTTCTTTTTCATGTACACTTTGGTTAGCTGTGAAGTGTAGTTTAGAAAATTCACGTTGTGCAGGAGACTTTTACATCAGTCAATAACTCATCGGAACTTCTAATAGTTTGTGTAACTTAAACAAGGATTTCCTGTTCATCAACAAAAATCAAAACTACGAATAGCTGGAGTTTACATAAAAAATAAATATATAAATGCATTTGTCAAATTAATGGTAGTCATTGGCAATCTATCAGAGTGCATATAGACCTGTTCAATTCAGCTGTGTGAATGTGTGTGTAATATATATTATATATATATATATATATATATATATATATATATATATATATATATATATATATATATATATATATATATATATATAATCTCATTCATTCACACAGCGAAATTGAACAGGTCTACATCAATTTGGGTATACACCATTAACCCCTTAGTGACCAGACAGTTTTTCAATTTTCTTACCGTTAAGGACCAGGGCTGTTTTTACATTTCTGTAGTGTTTGTGTTTAGCTGTAATTTTCCTCTTACTCATTTACTGTACCCACACATTATATACCATTTTTTTCACCATGAAATGGTCTTTCTAAAGATACCATTATTTTCATCATATGATAAACTTAAAAAATATTATGAATTTTTTTTTCAAAAAACAACTTTTTCTAACTTTGACCCCCAAAAAAACCCTTGATAAATAGTTTCTATATTTTGTCCTGAGTTTAGATATACCCAATGTTAACATGTTCTTAGCTTTTTTTTTTTGCAAGTTATAGGGCTATAAGTACAGGTAGGACATTGTTGTTTTTAAAAAAAAAAGAAAAAAAAAATATAGACTTTTTTGTGACATTGTAACACTTATCGGTCATAAAGTGACATTGTAACACTTATCGGTCATAAATCTTTGAATCACGCCTCACACGTACATATTTTTTTTTAAAGTAGACAACCCAAGCACGTTAACGCAAAGTAGGGAAAACAGACTATGAAGAGAAGGGAAAGTAAAGATACAAGGAGGAATAGAGAGAGGAGGCAGCAAGACGAAGAAAAAGAAAGAAAATGGGGATGTGGGAAACTCATGATTACCACTCTATTCCCTTCAATTTAGTTAGACAATCATCACACAGTAACATGTATTACTTTGTTCATTACACTTGAAAAAAAATCCTCTTTTCCCAAAGAACAAAAAAAGCCTCTTTACCTGTATCCTGTCTGAATAGTTATCAAGAAGAAGAACTCCCGAGCTGGTTACTTTCTTTGTTTCAACCATAGTTTTCAGATCAGCCAACAAATTCATATGCTTTGACATGTCCGTTGCCAGCACCTTAAAGTGGAAACAAAACAGAGTTTGAGCTTTAGACGACTGACACGGAATAAGAACCTGCATTCATTCTTAAAATAGAGCAATCACTCAAAGATGCATGGGAGACCAGTTCCACTTAAGGTAAACGATAGAATATACCCTCTATATTGTGATAGAAAATTCACCAGCAAGATATAGTTTAAATGTCATGGACAAATCGAAGGTTTGGTCTGAATCTCTGCTGTAAACTGCCAATGCATCACTATGCTCTCCCAACATGAAGATCAGCATTTACAGAGCGTAATAAGTAAGCTCTCACTGCAGTCACCACACCTCAATGCAAATGGCACACTTATAACCTGAACTGATCAACAAAAGGACTGTGTACAGCACTCCATACTAATCCTAAGTGAATATTCAGGAATAAGTGTTTATGACATAAGTGTGCTAAAAGAGGAACAGTTATTCTACAGGATTTTCATATTATGTATATATATCTTCTTTCCTTCGAGTAGATGTTATGTGCCCTGGGTGTGCCTTGACTGAATTGGATTGTGATGTCATTTGCTTAATCATTCATATTAATGTATTCTAAAGGAAAAACAAGTTAAAAATGTTATAAAGGAACACGAAGCACAATAACCACTGAGCATGGTATAGTGATTATAGTGCCAGGACGGTCCTGGTGAACCCAAACGTGAAGAGTAATACCCTTTTAACAAACTTTTCCTAAACACTGACAAAACTGTTACGATGATCTTTGGAACTGTACCTAAATGATGTAAACTACAAAATCAACAACTGTGTATCAGAACAAATTCAAATAGCAGGTCATTGATTATGGGGATTTCGTTTATTCACTTGCATCGCAAATCCACCTTAATAAACTTTATACGTTATATAATTCATTCTACTGTTTTGTACTAGAATGCAATTACTTTACCCACCATTGTGACATGTTAAAAGACCTAAACTGGCTGTCGCTGGAACCCCGACGCACTCTTCATCTTTCCAGCCTTGTGCATAAGAGCATTTCTGGGAAGCTCCCACCCTACCTGAGTAGAATGCTCTTCCCAGCTGTTCCTACGTCCTATAACCTCAGATCCAGTACTAGCACGATATTTAGCATGCCGCAATACAAAAATAAAGTGTCTCGATACTCATTTTCCTACAGAGCACCGCAATTATGGAATAACCTCGGGAACAAATATAAATCTTCATTCAGTCTAAAATCTTTTAAAAGATCTATGGCAATATACCTTGAATATATTTAATACCTATATATTAATACCTATATTTTGTGTGTAATGTATATGTATATATATATATATATATATATATATAGTATTTTTTTTTTAATATTGTATCCTATTGTAACAATGCAATGTTTTGTGGACCCAGGAAATACTTGAAAAGGAGAAAAATCTCAATGTACCCATCCTGGTAAAATATTTTATAAATAAACAAATTTTAGAATAACGATTTTAACTTTTTTCCCCTCTTTCTGATTATTTTAACTCCACTCCCCCAACTCCACTACGTCAGACAGAGAGAGCTTCTGGCTCAGTCTGAGTTTAACCCATGGTGCAGGGCTTAGCTCATGGTTAAAAGCGATTAATTGATGTTATCGGCCAATAAACTAGCTTGCAAGGCTTACCTCAGGAGAGCTAATAGCGGCTATTGCGTAACAGTTTACGGCACTCCGATTAAAGTAGTAGAGGCAGACCTAAGTTTAGAAGTAAACAGGTCTAAAAATGTTTTGATTACTTTCAATAGTAGGGCCACCAGGTAACTCCCGGCACCATAACCAACAATGCTCTGAATGTTCATTTCACAAATGTGAGTTGCAAACAAAATTGCCTTAACAGTTAGGCACCCGAAACGTTTGGTTCCTTTTCTTTTGGGCCTGCAGTAAAAATACCAAAATTAGACTGCAATCTCCTAAGGGCAGATATTCTGCTTTCCTGCATTGTCAGATCCTGTGCAGTGTGTTAGAAAGGACTGGCAGGATTGTAGAAAATACAGCCATGCATTAACAGTTTCGGAGACAGCAGCCGTTAAAACAATATGACACCAAGAATCAAGCCATAAATGACAAGTAGGTCAAAGAAAGACGTTTTAGTCACACGCACAAAACAGTAAAGAAAACAAAAAATCCAAAATGTACAGTTGAGTTTGTTAAAATAAGAGGTCATCAACAAATATCTGCAATACAAGAGGCACACATGGCTACTGGAAGAGGTAAAGATCATCTTCTGCACCAAAGTACCAAAAAACATTACCCATGAAAACACATCACTGCAAAATGGATTAGTTGCGGTCAATAAACCTTTGGTCTTCTACAGCAGGGCTTCCCAACCCAGTCCTCAAGTACCCCATACCAGTTCAGGATTTAGGGATTACCTGTTGTGTCTAAGGTGCTTTTAGAAAAAAATAATAATAATCTCTTTAGACACAACAGGGTAATCTCTAAGTCCTGGACTGTTATGGGGTACTTGAGGACTGGGTTGGTAACCCCTGTTCTACAGTACAGTAAAGAGTTAACAAATAAAGTGAGGGAAAGTTATCAGCTAGCTGATAAAGTGTTAACTAATTAGAGCTCTGAAAACATAAGAAAAGGTTCCTGTGAAGGCGAACAGCTTCTATTTTCCCTTTTAATTTGTCACACCTTCCTGTGAGAAAGCTGTAGAGCACAGCCACAGCTAATCTGAGCTGACATAGTAAATGTTTGGCAATAACTTGCAATTATATTTAGGATTAAGAATGGGCTGAATACGAATGCAAACTGCAAATATCCCATTTCTAAGGTCGGTTAAAGGAACATTCCAAGTACCATAACCACTACAGCCTGACCTAGGTTGGGTAATTACCTGTTTAAAACCAGTTTAAGAGTGGTGCTGGGCTAAGAGAACTCAGCCAATTAGCCGGCTCAACACGGCAGGACTTGGCTCAGTGGAGCTAAAAGGAAGCTCCTTGCATGGATACTTTGGGTTTTGCACTGAATTGTGACTTTTGGAGATGCAGAATTATTCCATATGGCTAGTTTGCACTCTAGTTTGTTATTACCTTGTCAATGACTCTCAGATGGGTGGATAAAATCCACTTTAAAAACAGTAGGAGGAGAAATATAAAGGATTTATTAAATAAAATATTGAGTAAAGCGATTTTAGTCTATTTTTTGTTTGTTTACCAATCATCAATAATGCAGTACAAAATATGTATATGATACTTATTTTGCAAAACTAAAAAAAACTAAAAAAAAATATTTCTGTAAATTCACTCACAATGTCAATAACCATTTTCCTTAGTGATTGTCTTTGCTTTTTGGTCAAGTTCTGGAAAATGTCACAGTTCTCCTCTTGCAACAACTTGAATCCTACGGCTAGATGATGGTTTTCCAGCACAGATGAGTCATTGTACATCAAGGCCAATTCTGAATCTAGTAGGAAAAAAAAAAAAGAGAGAGAGCAGTTTAGCATATACCAAACATGGGACTTTCCCTTAAAGTAAATAGAGATATTGATTAGTAAACATGTTTTTACAAATCTAAGCACCAAAAAGATATGTTGCAGATGTTATGATAGAATACAATTACTTGATTGCTAAATTGCCATTGTGTTGGACAAGTCTGTATAAACAACACCTTGATGCAATTAATTGGGGAAGGCCTCCAAGACACTAGGTGAGCTGGAGAAATCGGTGCCCATCTACAGTAATGCAACAAAAGATCTTCTACCATTATTATTTGCAGCACAGTCCAAATCACACAGACTCTGATTGGTAGACTGGGAGTTAATGATTAATATAGGCCAAGGCAAGAAGCCCTCATAGATCTGCATTGATTGTATGTAGATCTAGATAAATCTCTAATTTCAGGTGCTTTGAATGAACTCAACCAATAACGTTTGCTACAGACTGTCAGTTAAACTACATGTGGCATATTCTGTCCTTTTTCACAGAATTCTACTCAAAGTTGAACAGTAAGATGCACAGCTATGTATTTTCATGAAAATACAGTGATACAGTAATAGAGACAGCAATTTCTGACATTTCTGGTGCGGAGAACCACAACTTGTGAGAACCACCAATCGATTCAAAGCCAGTCAATCTATTTCTACCCCCGTGCTACTCTTGCCCATTGCTCTCAAAAAAGAGGGACACAAAGTTATGGACATTGCCTGTTCTGTGGTGGCAAAATACATCTAATCAGCCAAGAAGGGACTTGTAACAACAATCTGCTACCATGTCAAAAACATTTCAACTCTTCAAAAACCAATAAACTTTTCCTCCTGGCAAATATTTTAAGTAACCAACTCCCAACTACTGTAGATCAGGCTACAACCATAAGATGATTACATCATATGCTTTCTCATCTAGAACCTCCTGGAATCAAATATAGAAAAATAGAATGACTTCACTGCTTTTGTATGAACTTATATATACCCCTTGCCCCTTAATTTTATTATTAAACTTGTGTTACTACATAAACATCACATTGAGGCAAAAAAGGTCAATTCTAGAGCAGTTTTGACTACTGATATTGGAAGATGAAGATGTTCTAACAATTGCTTCTGGGAATAGTGTCTAAATAGCACATCTTGTGATTACATTTATGCAGAAAATGATTTAATTTAAACTGACTGGCTCACACGCTTTCATACCCCAACACTGCTGTATAGGTCTAGTTACTGTATAGGTCTAGTTGCTTCAGTGAAGGGTTTAGGAAGAGCAGAAAAACAGTCCATCTCTGAAAATTTACATAGGATATTGAAGGTACTAGTAATAGATCTTTGTCGAAGGACTCAGGAATGAGTCAGTGTGACATTACATTCACTTATCATCAAGCACATTTATTTTTAACCGAATCAAAGCACGAGGCACATGATGCTTTCCAAACTGTGGATTGCACATTGCATAACAGCCTCTTGTGTCTTCTAAATTTTCAAAAATTAAGAAAATGTAATACGAGTCTGAACTAGAAAGGCTTTGGAGCATTCTGACTCAGATACAATCAGGAACATATTTAGTGTAATAGGTGATATTTCAAATAAATGCTCTGCCTTTAAACATCAAGAAAATGCGCACAAAGACTATTTCAAAGCAACTCTGATTTACCCTGAGGGTGATGGGAGGCTATTACTGTTTTACAGGAGAAAGCAGATCAAGATCCTACACACTATGGTAGGACTGAAGCCGCTCTCAAAGATCTAAAAAAAGAAACAAAATAATGGAGGTTGTGTATAAAACAACTGTGGGGAAAAATTGGCTAAGACGGAGCAATCAGAATGTTGGTTACCATGGTAAATCGCATCACTTTTCAAAAACGTGCCAGAGAACCACTTTACATATACCAATCAGTAATGTCGGCTTTCTAATGTGATACATTGTTGAAAGGCTTCCAAAAAGCCATTTGCATTTGAGTTAAGGTTGAAGGAGATCACTGAGGTCACAGACAACTCCCACAGTCTCCTAAAGTGGTTTAAGAGGGATCTTCAAGTCGGTGGTTGTCCATAAATGTAATAACCACCTGTTAGGCCACAAAGTAATCCATATAGAATTATACGAATACAATTCTTTTATGCTGTGAGCTATGTAGCCCCTTAGCCCCTTTGTGGCAACCAGACCAGAAACTATTACCCAGACCAGAAATTGAACCACTTAAACCTATTCTTGAGACTGAATGCAACTGACAAGATTATATATTTGTATGCAATTGTATTTATTTATTTATATATATTTTTAAATCTCGGGTTTATTTTATTTTCAAAGTTCGACGGGTATTATGGATTTTTATTTGGCCTTTCTTTGGGGATGAAAAAAGGTTTTTAGAAAAAAAGAAGACATCAAATGGTAAGTTTTATTTACGGGTATTTATTGTTCCCCCTTCACTAATTTTAGGGTGAGAAGGGGTAGGTAGGAATTTATTAATTTTTTGGGGGGGGTCGGGGGGTGACTAGGGGCTAGCCCCCACCCGCCGCCAATGGGTGGGGGCCGGGAGGGAGGACACTGGCTGTTCACTGTTTATTAGACATGACCCTACTAGCAGCATTATGCTATTATGGGGTCATATTGACCCCAATAGAGTGAGGGAGTACATGGGAGGGCTTAGGAAGTGGCTGGGAGCACTTCTCCCTGCCACTTCTATTTTTACATATTACAGTGAGGGAGCTGTGTGGCGTTAGCTCCCCTCTTGTAGTAAACCAAACGAACGAAGAGGTCTTTGTTCATTTGTTCTATTTATTTATTCGTCTTTCTGATGAATTAATGAATAGATGAAATTCCCGTTCACATGCCCAAGTGTTTAACTGGGCATGCGCGGGAATTTCACAGCGCTATCTAGTGTGGGCAGATGACTTGTCCCACAGGGACTTCATCTACCCACACAAAGATGGCGGTGCCCAGGACCTAGGTCCAGGCAGAAAATAAAGATAAGATTGGGTGCTTAGGGGCATTTGAGAGCAACTAGGTGGACAATTAAATGGAGTCGTGAGTGGGGTTAAACACCCCCCCCAAAAAAAACCAAACGGGATTCGGCCTTGACAGTGCCGCTTTAAACTGTAAAAATAGAGGTACTACTGATTTATCATTGAAAATGTCAAGATAAACAAAATAAAAGTATGAATCAGGTTGATTCCCTAGTTAAATCACGCACGTCTTTAATAATGTATCATTCAGAGCACATTATCTGTCTCCTTGACATTCTCCACCCATTTGCTGGGAGATGAGTCATCTCATTGATTTTGCACTCTAGGGTATCCCTCTGGTTACTAAGCATACAGGTAAAATGAAGCATTATTTGTGTAAAGGAAACACAAACTAATTACAGTGCTATATACTGTTCCTCACACTTTACTTTCTGCAAACAGAACCGGAAATAACTAGATCCATGTATATGGTTGCCTATAGAAAATAGGCAGCATGGTAGAATATGTCAACAATCCCTTTTCAGTGTTTAGGGAGAGGAGGTCTACGTTAATTCAAAAAAATGCAGGGTTTTTTTTAGGTAGTTTTTTTTTTGTCATACATCAATTTTAAAGAGCAACAAAATAATAATAGCTTACATAAATGTCTTAAATTACATCATACATTTTTTTAAAAGCCATTTGGTTCACATGCACTATTTGACCAGAGTTTTAATATGGTAAATAAAAAATGTCAAGGAGGTGAGAAATTTGCCCATAGCTGCCAGATTTAAGATAAGCAATGTATTGTCCCTTTAAAAGGAAAGGGAGCCATAAGTCACCAAAATAACAAATGCCGTACATTTATGTGTAATATGTAATCCTGTAACAAGCTTATAGATTTTACCAATTCTGATTTTTTGTCATGTTTTGGGAGATTAACATATGCCAAAATAGAAAGTAGCAATTGAAGGGTAACGCCTGATTTCATGCACACCAAACCGGAGATGGTTCTTAAGTAAACAGATAGGCATGAACTTCAAGGCATGAATAAAAAAATAAAAAATAAAAAAACATTTTAAACCCTCGTCAATTTCTCACACTTCCAGGTTTAGTGATAAATACTTAATATACTAGTTAATATTTCAATCAGAAAATACATTCTTTTATAAAATAAACAGTATTTGTTGTAACCACTTACTTGTGTTGATAAGGAACTGGTTTGAAACTCCCGGATGATCAACATCGTGTATTGCACTAGCAAAAATTGCAGCAAGAATTTCCAAATCGGTGAAGACTGCCTGTAAGAGTATAATAATATTACACAAAATATTAAGTTATTAGCTCACATGGAAGGGAGTAACACAGAAAGCAATCAGAACTTACGTGTTTTGTTAATTCTGTCTCCATGCAATTTGCATTAGAAACAGAACTGTATCATAACCTTTGCAATAAACTGTAGCGGTTCTGATACTTGGCGTGCCCCTTTTATAGGACAACACCAACTTAACATAATTTTATGACTTCTCTGTTACCAAGAAAAAAAGGGCTAAGATTTACATTAGCAAAACAATATACTAATTTAAAGTCAAATGAATATAAAAAAGAGAAAACAATTCCTCAAAAGCTATATTACATATTATATACATATAAAAGATTACATTTAAAAAAAAGAAATAAATACAACCAAAAACATCCCAATTCCCCCCATCCACCTTAGTAAGTGGCTTTATTACGGTCTATTTTATTAAATTACATGGAAATAGATGCTGTTAAAGACCCTTTCCCAGAACCCATCTATTTGAATCCAAGTACTATCATGTGTAAAGGACTTGGGAGTAGAAGGAGTCTGACTAATCATCACTGCATTACCACCGGTTTTGGTTTTTCAGAAAACTAAAACGCAACACACACACACACACACACCAAAAAAAGCAGTTGACAAGACTGAATTGATCAGGTGTCCTTATACTAAAATCTTAATTATTTTGGACAATAACAAGGGCAGGAAGGCAACCCCAAACAATAGCCAACCAATACAAAGTAATATACTCAGAGTTTAGAGTATTCCATTTACTGTAACAAGACAGTTAGCCCTCATTTAAATTAGACTGCGACTGTGGTTAACATCACTGCCACGAACTGTGATCATCTTGTGCTACATATAGGAGGGGGATTCTATGAATCATATCACCCATCATATGTCAGCTAAGCAAATTTATCAAGGATTGCAAAATGTGATTAACCCAAAACAGAATGACCATGTCTACATTCTCTGCAGTTATTACAGTATAACATAAGCACTATGAACAAAGAATAACATTTATCATTTTATTAATACATTACCTCCAAAGCTGGGGTCGATAGCAACACATGGGTAGACTGTGCAACATCAGCGGCATGTATATTATTATGATAAGCCACATCTGCATGATAGTGATCTTCTAGCGTCATTAAATATGTAACTAAAGTGTCTACTGGAATTTTAAAGGTCTTCAACAAATCTCGTTCCTGTATTTAAAATAAAGAAAATTGATAAGTGAAACACAAAACATGTACAACTTTAGATTAACAGGATACTTTTTCCTATTCCATTGATAATCTACTTTAAGTATAGAGGAACCTTTGTTTCTCATGCACACCTACACTGAGCTCCTTGCCATAGTGAATGCTACAGTAGCAAAAAATCGGGGTGGAACAACGACGAAAGGTCATCATCTTACTTTTCTCTGCAACATATCCATGTATCATCACAGTCAACTCTCCTAGACAGCTACACGCGATATTACGTTACATGCTGATAAATGATTAGGCATTTGACTTTACCTTGTATATGATTAAATGTCTATACATCTATCTATACCAGTTTATATCAAACTATATGTATCCAATCTTAATTTAGGAGCAAAAAGGCTCAACCTTTAGCGAACCTTCAGGAGGTATAGTCCAGATGTTGTGGACTAAATCTCCTCTCATGCTCTGCCAGCATTATGGCTGTAAGAGCATTATGGGAGGAGTCCACAACAACTGCAGTGCCGAAAGTTGATTACCTCTGCGGCTACGATATAACAGGGCATACCTCAGCCAACTCAATAAGCCTGCTTTTACTTACTAAAAACCATTAGAAATTATCAGACTAACGGTTTATATCAAGCAAGAATAAGATTGTTTACGTTTAAACGCAAAGCTACTGTTGTATAGTTTTGTGGTAAATCAAATCACATTTAGATAATTAATTCAGCTGTGTCTCCTAGTGTTTGAAGGTAAACGGTAATGAGATCAGCAGTGGTGGTAAGATCCCCATTAATAGGATGTATGCAATTTCCTCCTTAAACCAAGAATGACTACACATAATTTAATCACAAGTGACAATTTATGTTGAGTCCATTAAAATGTGTACTCCAACTAGGAACTCGCACAAACAATCACACAAAATTGAGAATACATAAAATGCAATCAAACCTGAAATATAGTGTGCATGACGACTGTGAGAGGTCTGTTTCCAGAAAACTCGGCTAATTTAAAAACATTAAGGCCCCATTTGTTTACATCTTCAAGTTCCTAGAAAGAATAAATTGTTTCAGAATGTTTCATAAAAAAAGAAAATTCACACAACAGGCTTAGAAAACATCACTAAGATACAGCAAGAGTTCTGTCTTTTTTATACAGCAATACATACATAAAATCATCACTGCTTGCTAACTTGGTATTTCAAGTCACATACGGTGTGTGGGAGGATGCCTTGAATTAATTACCGTACTGCAATTACTGAAAGCTGCTTTGGCAAAAATACAGATATTAACAAAAATAGATGTGCTTTCCTATAGCTGTGTGCATCATTAACGAAGAGAAAATGCCCAAGTCCATATAACACTAACATAATGGCCAGTGTTATATTTTATTTTAAATATTTTATTTTAATTTTAACAAATTCTGGATGGGGGATGGGTTTAGGGAGCTGTTAATTCACAAAAGCAAATACTTTCTTCAGCTCGTGCTGTTCGTCAGAGCCCTCTCTAGCTGTAAATCAGTGTTTATAAATAATTTACCTTCAATTCTACAAGTTGCCACTAAGGGTGCCAAAGTTAAAATGCCTTGAGATACTGATTATGGATTTACTGCCGTTGGATATATGTTCTCATTTTTGTTATGAGACCATGCTCAGCGGACTGGCATGTAGGTGTATTGCGCATTCTAGGATACACTGTGTAGTGTACACATAGTTTGAAATCTTTACAGAAAGGAATTTTCCTTTTAATTTATGAACCAAATTACATTTTCCTGGCAGAAGCCGAATTATTTTAGACTATAGAAATACAAGCACATTCTTAGCGTTTTACAGAGATAACTATAAATCATAGTAATGTGTTATCATGGCGTTAGATCATAAAATGTGTAATAAGACACAAAACACTTAATCCATTTGGTTGGGCTGGAGATTACTTGAAAATGAATGCCTAGAAGTAACTACTGCAAACTTAAACCTTTAATAAAAATTGTTTTTTGTAGAGGGTATATGATTATAGCACATTGCACTGTTTTATAAGCTGGACTAATGCCTGGAGAAAACAGGTACTCCTGTTCCAAGAGGTTATTCAGCAGTCATTGAAAACATTTCCACAGAGATACAAACCATCAGCATTAAAAACCAAGAGGAGAAGCAATGAGATGTCAGGTTAAGCGTTCACTGAATGTTCCAAGAATCCGTTTCAAATACTAGAAAGTAACGGTTCAGGCCATACTTCTATTTTTTTTAGCGTGTTGACATAGTACAGATACATTTAGAGGGGATTGTGCTAGCACTATCAATTAGTAATATGAGCCTGATTTTGTTGACAACTTAAAAACATTAAAAAAATAGCACCACCATGAAACTTGATGGTTTAAAAAAAATCTAGTCAATAAAACGATAGCGTTAAAATTTAACAGTGCTTCTAAAATAATGTAGGATATTTTTATATGGCTTTAAAATTATTTCAGTGCTACGTTTAGAGGGAACACGGATCTCGGCTGGTAATTATACAGACTGGTTTCTCACCTTGGCTAAAGCGTCCTCCTCTTCACTTTTCACTCCAAACCTTGGGATACTTGAATTTGTCAAACTGGAACTGTGCATTAGTTTTTTTACCCCACTGATCTGAGACATGGGTCTCTTCTTCTTGTCTTTTTCCTTCTGGGCCTGTGTTGGCATCTCCACTTCATGTTGCTTATCTAGAGACGGAAAGGGGTAAGATTCAGTTAAAAGAAAAAAGAAAAAAAAAAATCTAGCTGGAAAATGAATAGCAATTCCCCTATAGAGAACTGCTATTAAGTTACCAGAACGAAGTCTAGCTATTGTACCAGAATCTAGTCCACAGTGTGAAAGACAGAGCACGGAGGTACCGTATAATTTATTAAATATTTTTATTATTTGGTTATATGTAACAGTTATAATACATATACACAGACACAATGTGTTTATTGAGAGAGAGAGAGAGAGAGAGAAAGAGATACAATCTTTGCTGTATTCGCCCAGTGATGGAGACGTAAAAGAACAGATGAAATTAGTATTTTGAAAAACTTGATAAAGGGAGGATCTCTCAAAGGCTTGTCATTCCAAAATGTTGTTAGTCCAATAAAACCAGATACTAATTTTGGTTATTTTGCATAGATATACACACACACACACATTTATTTTTCACTTACTACACCTTAAATATACAGAAACTGCCAAGTAAATGTATGGCCTAATGAAAAAAAAAAAAAAAGGATCAATTTAGGAGATGGGAGCCTCTAGCTCCCAAATCAATCTAACAGTGCGTAAGAATATCCTGAAGGAAACATCAAGCATTTAGTGAATAGACCCCATTGTACCACAAAACAGTGAAAGCGCAGAAAGGGTAGGGGAGGGGAAGCCTCTTTCCTTGGGTGCAACATCTGGACAGGATAGAGAATGTAGGCTGCTGTTCCCCTCTGGATATTTACATTTTCAGTCAGGCGCAAATACTTCAGACAAATCAGAATGGGAAACCCTAAGCAGGACTGTCAGAGCAGCTCAGCCAGAGGCAGGAAAATGCCTGACAGATTCCACTTGGGTCATTATGCTCCATGGGCTTTTCCCATGTTTCCCAAGAACAAAAAAAGACTTTAGCCATCAACGCACAAGAACAAGGGATTATACAGCAAAGCCTATTCATGCAAAAATAAATAATAATGGGTCACCTTCACGCAGAGAAAAGGAAGAATCTTTCTTATAATAACAGAATATTGTTATTTTATCAAACATTTATTATATGGGGGAAACATCCTGAATGCAATAGGAGGGATCTTCCCAAAAACAAAACAAAACAAAAAAAACAGCGCAATACTCTCAAAAATAGGTTTGCTAGCTACCCAGTACACAATGGTGAATTCTTAACGGAACTGCAAACTTAAAATGTAAAATTAGACTTATTTCTACATTTCTCAATCATGTTGTCAAATCATGGTTGAGTGAGTAAACACGATAAACCGTATATCTTGAAAAATAGGCAGCTCAACATTTCAGTATTGTTACTGATAATACGTTTATGTTATTCACTAAATTGTAGGGAATTCAAAGTGAATTTTCGATTTTAGCCTAAAATAGTCAATTTGTAAGGGAGTATCCTATGCTTACAAATTGACTATTTTAGGCTAAAATCAAAAATTCACTTTGAATTCCCTACAATTTAGTGAATAAAGGTGACTCCTCACATAAACATAAGTTAATATGTCAGCTTCTTGGTATTTCATATGTTGGTCCCTTATAAAGATTGGTATAGCTCTTCGTGCTATAGAAAATCCACATATGTCAGTTTGAGAAGATTCTAAACACCTGTACTGCGTTGGAGACCTACCGTATATACTAAAGTAGAAGACAAGTTTTTCAGCACATTTTTTGTGCTGAAAAACCCCCACTCGACTTATACTCGAGTCCCTGTCTGTGTTATAATGAAATAAGTGTATATATGGTGAAAAAAACCAATATAAAACAAAGTGCTACAATCACCAGCAATGTGGGTCACTCCACCTCACATAAATAAATGGTTATAATAGTAAAGAATGGTGAGAGCACAGATAAACAGTAATTACCCTTATATCCAATATAAAACCTGTAAAAACACAATGGGAAAAACAGGCATAGGGTAATAACGTACAAATAATATATGTATGAGTAAATACTTGAATAAACTCACATATTCATGAGCCACTTAATATGGAAGCTGGCTCAGACTAGGAACATTGAATGGATTAGTGAGGTGGTCGTTGTAATCCAACTGCTTAATTGCTTGCTCCTTCTTGCTTTACAAAATCCAGGATGCAGGATCTTTAATGAAAACCTTTATTCGGTATAGCAGCAAAAAAAAGACAGCAGCAGTAAAAGTTAAAATTCAGCAATTCCACCTCTGCACACTAACGCGTTTCAGCCAAAGCCTTTATCAAAGTGTGAGTCCATTCAGTCTGTTCCGTGTTTAAATAGGAAACTTTTCGCGCCTTTCTTCCGTTCAGAAATAAACTCCTCCCCCTTTTTAATTTTTTTTTTTATATACGCAACTTTATTGGGCATCCTAGCGTCCTTAACAATCTCAATTTACTTCCGTGTTCATTGAAGAAAAGAACAGCGAACTAGTCCATTCATTTACACAGTCTTTCATGTTGCAATGATCAGAGTCCTATTAGCAACATACTTCATACATATTGTCAATAACATTGAAGCCAATATTATAGTCAGATATTATTATTCCAATACGTGGAATATTAGCAACAGTTAAACTCTCTCTTTCTCAAAAAAAGGATTAAAAAAGGTAAGAGAGAGGCAAAAGAAGAGGGAATAAATTTAAAAGGGAAATAAAAGATCGAAATAGAAAAAAATCTTATTTACATTTAAAGGTATATCGGGAGAATGCATTATACTTAAAATACACTTATTATAATCAATATTTATAAAATATTAATCAGTATTACTAAAATTGGAATTAAAACATATCTTATTAATATAAAACAACCTAAAATGATCTCTAATAGATTTAATAAATAATTATGGTTAAATATAAGTATTAATTTCAAAATCTACGTTTAATCCCCCCGGTGTAAGTGTATCCAAATTAAAAATCCATTTCATCTCATTTTTACTTAAAAGATTATCCTTATCACCCCCTCTCCAGTGTATTTTAATATGATCTATTTCAAAAAAATCCAGGCCTGCTGGGTCTCCATCATGATATTCCAAAAAATGTTTAGATAAACAATGGTTAGAGAATCTTCTCCTGATGTTGTATATATGCTCCCTAATTCGTATTTTTAACGAACGAGACGTTTTCCCTACATATTGTAACCCGCAGGGGCATGTTATCATATAAATAACATCAGCAGTATTGCACGTGTTTGATTTCATATTCTGTTTTATTATTAAAAGAAATGAATTTAAAAATTCTTCTATTTTTCCCAGCTCTTACTTTACACCCTCTACAATTTCCACAATAGAAGAATCCTTTCTGTTCTTTTTATAAGTTATTGGAACATTCATTCTTTTCTTTCTCTTGGAAGCTGCTAGTTAAAATTTGCTTGAAATTTCTAGCTCCTCTAAAAATTAATTTTGCTTTTTCCCCTATTAGTGGGCGTAACTCATCATCTAACTTTAAAACATGCCAATTTTTATCAATAATTTTACGTAAAGCGCGGTTGTTAGAATTAAAATAAAAAATGAATGGGATAGTTTCTAGTCCTTCTTTTTTAGCTTGCTTCGATCTTTTATTTCCCTTTTAAATTTATTCCCTCTTCTTTTGCCTCTCTTTTACCTTTTTTAATCCTTTTTCTGAGAAAGAGAGAGTTTAACTGTTGCTAATATTCCACGTATTGGAATAATAATATCTGACTATAATATTGGTTTCAATGTTATTGACAATATGCATGAAGTATGTTGCTAATAGGACTCTGATCATTGCAACATGAAAGACTAAGTGAATGGAATAGTTCGCTGTTCTTTTCTTCAATGAACACGGAAGTAAATTGAGATCGTTAAGGACGCTAGGATGCCCAATAAAGTTGCGTATAAAAAAAAACCGGGGGGGGGGGGGGCTTATTTCTGAACGGAAGAAAGGCACAAAAAGTTTCCTATTTAAACACGGAACAGACTGAATGGACTCACACTTTGATAAAGGCTTTGGCTGAAACGCGTTAGTGTGCAGAGGTGGAATTGCTGAATTTTAACTTTTACTGCTGCTGTCTTTTTTTGATGCTATACCGAATAAAGGTTTTCATTAAAGATCCTGCATCCTGGATTTTGTAAAGCAAGAAGGAGCAAGCAATTAAGCAGTTGGATTACAACGACCACCTCACTAATCCATTCAATGTTCCTAGTCTGAGCCAGCTTCCATATTAAGTGGCTCATGAATATGTGAGTTTATTCAAGTATTTACTCATACATATATTATTTGTACGTTATTACCCTATGCCTGTTTTTCCCATTGGTTTTTTACAGGTTTTATATTGGATATAAGGGTAATTACTGTTTCTCTGTGCTCTCACCATTCTTTACTGTTTTAACTGTCTGTATTATGGCAACTTACATTGCCATAATACAGACCAGGACCGCCGGGCTCATTACAAGGCCGGCGGTCTTGTTGGGGGCTGGCAGCGAGCTGTAACTTACCTTTCCTGCAGCTCCTGTCAGTTCCCGTCTCTTTCCTCCGGTCTAGTCAGCTCCCCTGTCAGCTCCACTGTAAGTCTCGCGAGAGTCGCGGGGTCAGAGCATTGCCACGGGTTACCGTGTCAACGCTCCGAGCGGCAGTCACACCACGAGACTTACAGGGGAGCTGACCGGACCGGAGGAGAGAGAAGGGAGCTGCAGGAAAGTTAAGTTACAGCTCTCTGCCAGCCCCCCTCCTACACAGCCCATCCACTGGACCACCAGGGAATGAGAGCCCCCATGTATCAAAATCAAAATACAAATAAAATATTAATATTAAAAAAATAATAAAATACAAATAAAATAATAATATAACAAAATAATATTAAAAATAACAATTATTAAAAAAAATCAATAAAAATGCCCACCCCCCCACCAAGCTCTGCATCACACACACACACCCACCGCATTCATACACACACCCACCGCATTCATGCACACACACCCACCGCATTCATGCACACACACCAAGATTCATGCACACACACCGCATTCACACACACACACACACACCGCGACCACGACACACACACACAATCGCATTCACGCACACACACACACACACACCGACCACAAGACACACACACACACACCGTGATTCATACACACACACACCCAAGATTCATACACACACACACACACACACACCCCATTCATACACACACACACACACACACACACACACCGCATTCATACACACACACACACACACCGCATTCATACACACCGCATTCATACACACACACACTTCGCATTATATATACACACACACTGCATTCATACAAACACACACACACTGCATGCATTATAAACACACACTGTAAATAAATATTCAATTAATATAATTTTTGGGGGATCTAATTTTATTTAGAAATTTACCAGTAGCTGTTGCATTTCCCACCCTAGTCTTATACTCGACTCAATATGTTTTCCCAGTCTTTTGGGGTAAAATTAGGGGTCTCGACTTATACTCGAGTATATACGGTAATTACATACTTGGTATAAATAATTACCATACAATCTAGGATCTAAATCGCGGCTGACACCACAGAATGTGTGGATAATAATCGCCTTGGGCTCGGCCTTCCATTTGGATAATGGAAAATATAGACTTGCATATATTAATTTCCCTTAAAAGCAACAGTTTAGACATACAAATATGTCATCCCTGATGGGGTGATATATATATACAAAAGTTGCAAAAGATAGCACTCCAAGGACTTATCTAAAATTTAACTTTTATTTACCTTCAATAAAAATCACAGTCAACGTGATACTTACAGTCATCAGGACATGTATACATACATATACATACATACACTAACCTGAGCTTTTGGCTGAAGAATCAACATACATACATATACATATATATATTTATGTGTAGCATGTTGCTTACACAAATATCTGAGGCAATGCCACTTGTCCTCTTTTTCAGATTTTGCATTGCATTTTGGGTGGTTTGTGGGAATACAATCCATACTGAGCTAGGTGTACAGGGCAGGGTATTAATACTTCATACTTTAGAATTCATTTAGAAAGTCAGCAATTCATTGTTCATAGTTATACAGTGCATTCTCTAGACCAGTGGTTCTTAATCATTTTGGAGATGGATTCAGATTATGTGCATGGCATCAGAAGAGCAACTCGTTCAATAGTTCTAAAATTAGATCAGTGACCCACTCTTCAAATAGAATATATAACAAGTACATTCTTCAAAACACCTTCATCAGGCTTTTCCCAGTGTCAGAAGGGTCTCTGTAGAATCAGGCAAGGCTGCTACAGTAAGAATTGCATTGTGTGTAGTTAGATAGGGTTCTAATGGATAGTTGATACCTGTTCCAACTACTAGACAGCCACTAAAATAATATAGGAGCCAATTGGGAATCCTGAGTCAGGATACATGCAAGTTTTCACGTATTATCAGGACAAATGCTTGAGTGTCTACTACATAAACACACCTAGAGTGTACCATATGTTTTTAAAGTAGTACAAAGGCTCATAAAAGAAAAATATGATAAAGTCTCTAATTCTAGAGTTGCAGTTTTTCTTTTTGGAGGGAACGTTGATTTGTTTGTGGTCATAGTAAATTACGCATGTATTCTTAATATACTGTAATCACCCCTTAAAGTCTAAAAATGCCAGCAAACAGACTCTACAAGGGATACACAGTTCACAATTTTTGCACGAGATCCAGAAAAAGCAGAACAGTGCTGCATTCAGCCAAGCTAAAGGAAGATCTGTGGACTTAAATTTTGTTGTGCTGGTTTTGGGCCCTGTTTCTGACACCGATAAACCGTGCATCCATTGCAAGTGTGTGCTGGAGTGTTTTACTGAAATGTGGGAAATTTGGACACACCACTTCATTAACATGTGACTATTATTTCATGCGGATCTATTAACACTAATATTCCACAGCTCTGATACAGGGATGCTGCATGAATATACTTGGTCTGCTCTTCTCCAGGATTTCCACACGCCAGATGTCCAAGTTGTGATTCCCTAGAGTCAAAGATTAAAATCGGTTTTGCCAAAATGACAAAACCAAAAGAAACAGTAGAATTTTTGCAAAGCAAAGGATCACTGGGAAAAGTTAATCTACATGTGAAACCCGTTCTGTGACGCTTTAGAAGGCAGATTTAAATTTTTAAATTTTTAGATTTGTCTACACTAAATTATTTTAAAAGTATTACAGCAAAGAGAATAATGAATTGCTTCCTAAATACAATCAAGATGAACTGAGCTAATGTGGTTAGCTGCTTTCAAAAATCCCTGTGGACCTGGAACAGTTAATTGGTGACAAGGATCTAGTGTCCTGGTTATGAAGGCTCTGCACAGCAACCTGCAAACACAGCAATACATTGGGGATAACTGTGAGGCCAATTAGGCAAAACAGAATGAGCTTCGAAATAGTCTGAATAATCACCTACATGTGTCTTCAGTGACTACGTCCCAGCTCAGCTTATGTAACAAGCTGACATGTGGGAGGCTAAATTGTCCAAGCTTACCACCACGTGATCCTTTACACAATGAGCAGGTAGGGTTCATTTGACAAAAAGACAGATCCTTACCTAAAAAGGTGTTGGAGATGTATTCCGAGACCTGATTGCCAGATCGGCTCATTTCTGATAAGTGGGTCAGCTCTCGGTTGAGCATTCTTTTGAACTGTAAAAGAAATACACACACATAAATAAGTATACCAAAGACTAATGGATATTACACACACACACAGTATAGTACAGAATACATATATTTTTTGTTTATTTTTACAAGATTTTGATAATTTTATATATTAAGCAAGTTCCTGCCTTGAAATACTGCACTGTTTTGGCCTCTCTGATCCACCAATGGTTTGTAAATGAAATCTTAAAGGACCACTCTAGGCACCCAGACCACTTCAGCTTAATGAAGTGGTCTGGGTGCCAAGTCCAGCTAGGGTTAACCCATTTTTTTTATAAACATAGCAGTTTCAGAGAAACTGCTATGTTTAGGAATGGGTTAAGCCTTCCCCCATTCCCTCTAGTTGCTGTCTCATTGACAGCCGCTAGAGGCGCTTGCGTGCTTCTCACTGTGAAAATCACAGCGAGAGCACGCCAGCGTCCATAGGAAAGCATTGATAATGCTTTCCTATGCGACCGGCTGAATGCGCGCGCAGCTCTTGCCGCGCGTGCGCATTCAGCCGACAGGGAGGAGAGAAAGAGGATCAGAGGAGAGCTCCCCGCCCAGCGCTGGAAAAAGGTAAGTTTTTCCCCCTTTCCCCCTGCCAGAGCAGGGCGGGAGGGGGTCTCTGAGGGTGGGGGCACCCTCAGGGCACTATAGTGCCAGGAAAATGAGTATGTTTTCCTGGCACTATATTGGTCCTTTAAGGAGCCCATATTACATTCTTGGACAAATTTCTAATGCCCTCATTTTGGAATCATCCATCTCATTGCTGCAAAACTGTGCTTTTATTAATCACAACATATTTTTAACCAAACCTCGGCATTGTAGCTTTAAAAGAACACTCAAGAGCTCAAATGAATGGCTGTCCAATCACAGGCTTCCCAAATGCAGCTCAATGCACTGGGCAACTGCAGCCTAATGAGTTTAACTCTTCTGAGCTAAACAACCCAGAAGCAGTAGGAATAGTTCAAACAAAAAGGACTAGGGGCACACCCAGAGCATGCATGCAGACTTAGATGTCTGCCATGGGGTTATAATAAGGTTAATTTATAAAAATGAAAATTTCTATTAAAATCTGCAATTTTGTAAAATGAAAAAAATAAAATAAATAAAAAAAAGACACTCTTCACACATATAGCATTCTGAGAGCCAATTGTGTTTTAGGTATGTGGATTGCCCCTTTAACTGTCACTTCACAATACGATGAAAGTATCACCCAAATTAATATAAAGTTGGCAGTAGCTGTGAATATGAATGTCGTCATTATAAAATTCACAGTTTGTGCTGACTTTCATGCAGGGATAAAATATTGAGGAGAAAGAAAGAATGAAACGGAGTGATGGGCAACAGTGAGAAGACTATCAGAAAAACAAATTTCGATTTTTAAAACGGGTTCAAATAGAGCACTTTGTTCTGTATCAACAATAAAAAGACCAAAGCATTGCAGGCAGTGACACGTCCAATGAGGCACTTGGGACATTTATTTGCAGTAGTTTAGAAACACTAAGATTGTTTTTCTGGAGGGGGGGTTGAAACCCACCTTCCTTCACCCCCACACCCCCAGTAAAAAAATGGGACAAAAATTTGTGTCCGTTTAATTCTGTAATCAGTTTAAATTCTGTTTATTTTTACATTTTGTATCTCTTGCTCTGGTAATTATCTGCTAGAGCCCGCAAGAGCCTTGTGTGTGATTAAAGTTCAGTTAACATAGCCGGAGATAGAAACACGCTGTACTGCAAGATCTGAGGGAAATTAAAACCTTGTTTTGGAGCATAGGATAGGTCTTTAATCACATTCTTCCAACCCCCTACTGTCCATGTCATGTCAATGTAACTCACTGAACACCTTAACATTGCAGAACTTGGAATTGATCAGAATTCTGTTTACTAGAAAAGTGTATGAAGGTTATTCCAGAAGAATCCCTGTACGGAGTTTACACTATTTACCCTTTTCAGTTACTCTGTTATGGTCTCCAATCCTCACATCATATTGGAGTTGTATAAAGAAATATATATATAGGGACCAGTAGGTAGCTGAAATGTCTTAGCCAGTAGAGTTTCTGGGATGCGAGGTGAGTGAGCAGTCTCATTCATGAAAAATAATAAATATAACTACTAAAACTAATAAATAGTACAACGCTGAATATTGCTTCAGCTATAATAAACAGAATGAACAATGGCAGGGCAGAAGTTAGCTTATACATGTTGCAGTGTTGATCATACTATTTACAATTTTTCATTGAACAAAATACTCAATATTCACCGTCACCTCCACTCCTCACAATTACTAGGTGTTTTAGTAAATAGGTTTGTCATATTGCAATTTCCGTCAACTAAAAAGCCATTTAACGCCCCAGGGTCCAAGACTTATCTCAAAAGGCTGTAGAGATTAACACTAATGGAGCCCTGAAATTACTTTAATGAAACCACTGGGATGAGGAAAACTGCTGAATATGGTCACACTGCTACTGTTGTCTAATTATGCCTTAACTGAAAAAAGGCATTAAAGGGATATCCAAGCACCATGGCTAGTTCAGTGATATGAAGTGGTCATTGTACCTAGAGCAGTGATGGCGAGCCTTTTTGAGCCCGAGTGCAAAAACCGCAATACATGGCAACTTTTTTTTCCCTTAAAGTGCCAACACGGCAATTAAACCTCAATACTGAGGTTTAAGTTTAGAAAAAACAACTTGTACTGTTGTCCGAACTAATTAACAACTTTTGTTTTAAAAGATCACAACAACAGAGAGTTCAATGATACAAATTTTAAATAATGATATAAATCGATAAAATTAAGTTTATATTTATTAGTATCTCCAACAAATGCAATACATACACACAAGACTGCTGAATACAGAGACTGATGAATACACACACACACAGACACTGCTGAATACACATACAGACAGACTGCTGAGTACACACACACAGACACTGCTGAGTACACACACACACACACACACCGCTGAATACACACACACAGTCCGCTGAATACACACACACAGTCCGCTGAATACACACACACAGTCCGCTGAATACACACACTGCTGATTACACGCACACACACACACAGACTGCTGAATACACACACACACAGACTGCTGAATACACACACACACAGACTGCTGAATACACACACATACTGCATTGAGGGGTGCTGTGTGTGTGTGTATGAGGGGTGCTGTGTGTGTGTGTGTGTGTGTGTGTGTGTGTGTGTGTATGAGGGGTGCTGTGTGTGTGTGTGTGTGTGTGTGTGTGTATGAGGGGTGCTGTGTGTGGTGCTGTGTGTGTGTGTGTGTGTGTGTGTATGAGGGGTGCTGTGTGTGTGTGTGTGTGTATGAGGGGTGCTGTGTGTGTGTGTGTGTGTATGAGGGTGCTGTGTGTGTGTGTGTGTGTGTGTGTGTATGAGGGTGCTGTGTGTGTGTGTGTGTGTGTGTATGAGGGGCTGTGTGTGTGTGTGTGTGTGTGGGGGTGTGTGTGTGTGTGTGTGTATGAGGGGGTGCTGTGTGTGTGTATGAGGGGTGTGTGTGTGTGTATGAGGGGTGTGTGTGTGTGTGTGTATGAGGGGTGCTGTGTGTGTGTATGAGGGGTGTTGTGTGGGGGTAAGGCTGCTGTGCTGTGGGGGGTAGGGCTGCTGTGTGTGTTGTGGGGGTGCTGTGTGGGGGGGTAGGGCTGCTGTGTGTGGGGGGTAGGGGTGCTGTGTATGGGGGGTAGAGGTGGGGAAGGATGCTGGGCTGTTTTGGGCAGGCAGGTGCCTACTCTGCATTGATGGCGAACCTATGGCCGCATGCCCACAGAAAGGGCCCGGCGTGCCACGCGTGCCATAGGTTCGCTATCACTCACCTAGAGTCTCGCTGTGAAATCCTTAACATACAGAGTTTCATCCATTGGATGCTGAATGTGTAACTCAAACTCTGCCAGAGTTATACGGGTGTTACAGGCTAACTAATGTCAATTCTGTGCATTTTTATTTTGCTTAGTGTGCAATTAATTGGCTGACTGGATTAGCTGAGACTCTCAGCCATGAATGGCGAATGGATTGGCTTCCAGCTTCTGCAGAATAGAGAAGTATGTCACTACAGCAGCAAGGACCTGCGTGGACCCGCGTAAGAAGGCAAACCATTACTAGGTTTGCTCCTTTACCCGGGAACCATGCCAGGGTACACCTGGTATCATTACCACTACAGCCCACTGTGCTTGGAGTGACCCTTTAACAGTGATTTGGTTATTTTACCATTCACCGCTCCTAAATACCAAGTTCTGTGATGCTACTGTGGTGAGGGTACATAAAACAATATCTTTAGCTTGCAATCAGTGTAGTCATAATGAAAGAAATTGACTCAGTCACCCCCATCCTCTGTATAGCATTGTAATATTCCCTTCCATTTCCATGACATATTTCCAATCCTGCCGTGGAGATGATTTTACCAGCCTGACCTGTATTCTCTATAGGGGCTGCTAAATGCACAAAGGAGGAAGAGAATGTATTCCCACTTGGATATGGCAAGGTGCTTTTAACAACCCCTAAAGGGCAGCAAAAACGACACTGAAATACAAACAATAAAATCACCACTTTTGACCATTCCCATCACATTTGATTTTTTGTTTTGCCTTTTATACATTTCTAACTCTAGTAAACATATTTACAGTTTTGGTATTTTGCCCCAATAAATATTGTATCTTTTTTTTTGCTGCAGCCCCAACAGTGGTCATCACGACCACTTGAGTGATTTGAAATGATACCTGCAGTCTGTATGTGCAGCTTTTCGCACTGAAATGCTGTACCTCTACCTCTATCTCTGGCAGCATCACTGGGGTGTCATAAGCCAATGCGGAATTAGAGTCCCGGACCAGCTAATGTCAATTCTGTGCAATTTTCATTGCACAGAATGACAGTCATTGGATGAGCGCAGTCAGCTCACACTTTCAGCCAATGAATGTCAACCACCACTGCTTCAGGATTCGCGTCACCAGACAAACAGGGAGCCTCGGAGTCCAGTGCGGACCCAGGTTAGGGGGCAGACAATTGCTAAAATGGGGAAACAGGACCAGGGTACTCTTATACCATCATAATCAATAGAGCAGGCTGAGAGTGGTGATGACAAAAGCTTGGAGTGCATTAAAATCAGAGACTACAGCAAATCTAGATAGAATGCAATTTGCAAATCCTGACACCAAGAAAGAAAATGCATTTGCTGGGATTAATTTTCCATAATGCGTTTGTGATTTCATAAGGAAAGCAATAAAAAGCTAACACATAATAGATTTTGAATTCTCTTTGCTTATATTTATTGGGGGTGGGGGGAGCAATTTATGGCACCCTTTGCCACAGTGACAGGTGAGAGATGTGATTACATCATAGCAGACAGGCATTCCTCATCTGTAATACGTGTAACCAGATCCGACCAACTAGTGCTGGTCTCAGTGACATGATAAAAAACAAACAAACATACAACACGCATGTGTGCATTTACACATGTAAAACAACCAACAATAACCAAACACTGCTGATAAATTAGAGAAGGTACATTCATACACAGTAAAAAAAAAGTCATCCTCAAAAAATGTCAGTTCGTATGATTTTTAGATTACTATGTAAACATAATATTGATGTATATCCCTCGACTTTTTCCCCACTGGTTTTACTATTAAGCTTTCAGGCATGATTCACACAATATAAATAAATAAACCCCTATTAAAAAATAAATACAGTAACACTCCAAGTGCCTATTGTGCAAGAGTGCATCTAATGATAGAGATGCCACGTTCTGCTTCAATTGTTGCACGAATATTATAATAGACAAACAAATCCTATTATGCAATTATGTTATTCTCCTTCTAAGCATTCACTCTCAGTCATATAGTAACCCCTATTAAGGCTTGAAATGAACATGTGCAAATTGCAGGTTACAGTGCAGGAGAAGCGAGATGGTTATCAATCTTACATTGTGACGGGCTACTTATCTCATTTTTCAAGCTCATATCACAGGGCTACAAAGAATTCCCTCACTGTATACGGTACTGCAAGATCATATATATTTTTGTACAACTTAGCTGGAAATAGTGGGGATTAAATAATAAAGGCCTTCTAACACTCTTGTCGTGACTACTCTTGAGGCTATATTTTTAATATGGCAAATATAGAAGGTATTTGCCAGAATAAAAATGGGGCATCAAGAGTAATCGTGAAAAGGATGTTAGACAGGAATATGGTGGGAAAGAAATAAAGGCCTTCTCAGTTATACAAAAATAATACTTCTTGCAGAAAAGATGTGCATTTCAACTGTAGCCGAGGATAATATATGGACCAAGAGAAATGTTAATTTAGGTTCCAATAGGTGGATAGAGCAGGACTTTACAAAGAGTTAAATCAATTAAATGGGGTTCCAAATTACTCTGGGTGTATATAGCCTTATCTATGCCATTCTCCAGTTGTTTCCTAATGAGCAACTGTGCAGCCATTTTCCATGCAGTGGACCAAACCCTAATTAATTCCGTGGGCTTTCTGAGTCAAAAAGGGGAATAAAAATAAAAACACAAATCAAAAATCTAAACAAAATACACGCACACACAGACGCCCATGTTTAACAATCTACACCTTAAAATTGGAACATTTCTGCAAAAGTGACATCAGAATCCTGCAATAAAAATATTAAAAAAACCACAATGTTTATAGATTGGGAACATATGTCTTTTGTAATCTTATGTAACCAGTATTTTTTCCACAGCAGATGAAAATTGTATTTCTACTTCAATCCAGAGCATCTACAATGTTTCCAAGAATAGAAGGTGTAATCAATGTGTGTTAATGATACCAAGAGTCGTTGGAACGGAGCTGCATCCTAACCTATATAGCCTTTGTCAATACTGTAGGCATCAAGCACACAGGGCACCTGATAACAAATACGCCCAGCTCACGACTTAAAAGCACATCACTTATAAACCAGGAGGAAATCCAGAAGCCATAAACAGTCTGACATATACGGTATATGAATGTAAACATGCAATCTGCCAGTTTTCAGGGACCATCTCATGCAGCACCAAGTAATTATATATTATATTTAGATTTTTCACATAACAGTTTTCAAATGTCTCCATGATTACAATGTAAGCACTGATCCAATGAATAAAAAAAATAAAAAAAAAAACTGTTACAATAGAAGCCATTATTCAGATCTGCAATGGTTTAATGAAACGTTGCACAACGCAGGTTCCACATACATCAGAGACACAGCATTTACACTGTACATACACACAACTGCAGAGAAATATTGTTTACCTTTATATAGCCCCAGGACACAGAAAGTAAATAATTTGCTTCAGGCATCTTGACAGATAATTGATCTCAAATCACCCAGTGATGTGCAAATAAAATGTAAATTAAAATAAATAATAATTAAAAATAAATATCTCAGTTTGTTTCAGAAATTCCTGTTATTTTTCTACAATAAATGGCTTTAGGTGCACATGAAGTATTCTGGAATGAAAATCCCATGGGGTGCATTCAGACTGTATGAGTACCATTTGTAAAAATCCAAGGGAATGGGATAGCCCACAGTAAGCAAGAATGAAGAAACTCCAGAAGATGAATAAAAATCCTGAATGCTGGGGATCTGCATTTTGTCCTGAGCCCCAGGATGCAATGAACAATGTACACCACGATGCTCAGCTACTGGAGAAAACCTGCACTGCCAACAGCAATCACACAGACACCTTCAAGGAAAGCCATACAGTGTTTGGAAGGCCGGCCCACAAATCTTATCAGAAAGCCAATCAAAATGCCAGTGCCAAGGCAGTGAACGTCTGAGAGTTAAAACATTATGTAAGGGATTTTCTGATTCGCTACAGATAGTAAATCTCCTAGGTACAGAGCTTTGTTTTGTAAATTGCATTTAGTAATGGAATCCCTGTGCTACCAGCCTTGCACACAGAAGATTAATTAGCACAACTTTATCTGTCTCCATTCTTGCTCGTTGCTGAATTGCCTCAAAGCTGTACGATGAGCCAGCCCTGGGCTCCTGCTGTCACAGACCTTTCAGTGATTTGCTGGGTTTCACTTTTCAATGGATACTATGTATAAGCAAGGACAAAGGAAAACACAGCCTGGAAGATTGCTGAGCTGTGAAAAACAGCATGCTGCATGGTCTATGGCAGTGATGGCTAACCAACTGGCATGCAGCTAGTGGACTACATTTACCATGATGCACAGCAAGCCAAACAGGAAAGACTGCCCTCAAAAGTGTCAAACTCCAACCATGGTGAACCTATGGTTAATAAGCAGCCCTTATATAACAGACAAACATATAAACAAACAGGGTTGTTCAGGAAAGGGTGACAGACAAATTGCTCTGTGCTTCCTTGCATTCAAAGGGTTAAAATAGTGCCTTTTACACTGCCATTTTTCCTTATCTTAAAGTACAATTTTATTCATTGCACAGGATGGATTTCCTAGGGTTAATAAAAATAATAGAATAAATTAGAAACAGCTGCACATTATAATAAGGAAGCAGTTGAGCAAAGATGGAACAGTCGGTAACAGGACCTCATTTTATTAAGCCAATTATCTGACTTCAGTGCAAAAAAAAAAAAAAAAATCTGATCTTGGGTTTGTAGGAGATTATTTCAATTAATGATAATAACTGTGCAACGCAGAGCTGCACTTGTGGATGCTGAGATACAATAAAGAGAAAGGTTACAGTGTCAGACAAGAAAGTAGAACAGAGCCTTTAACAATATTTGTAACCGGTTGTATTTTTTTTCTGTATATTAATAACCATGGTACAGATTTAAACGCCGGTTTACACAAATGTTTATTGGGCCTTTATGGTACATATTATAGTCATATAAAGCATCGGGGAAGCAACGAGAACATCTATTCTGCCATTTAGAAAATTGACTGACTTTGTGGGTTTGCTTTTCAGGACTACAGTATACACAATCCAGGTGTCCATTAATACTGTGATGTTAACAGCCATTTCTACCTCCACTGGAAGAATAAACAGTAATTCTTAATAAACTATACTTGTTACTTGATCCTAAAATAGGTATGTAGGTTGATCAATACACAAAAAGGTTGATAAACAAATATGGGTCTATAACTAGATAGATGTAGATCTATCCGTATATAGAAAAGTAGATTGAGGTAGATTTTCGCACTGATGGAAATAGGCCTATAAAGAGATGTATCAAAGAACAGAGAGACAGATTGATGATATAATTAATAACCTGATAACACAAGATGGATGATCTGTATCCCTTTCTATGTCAAATACTGTGGCCATATTTGCTCACTGTAGGGAAACACCAAGAATTTGAGTCATGATTTCTGTCAAGCACGCCAATCAGCTGTACACACTTGACAGGTGCCTTGAGGAAGCTTGCAGCTATGGTCAAGGAACAACTGAACATGGGCCCAAACTGAAGGCTGACAGCAGCGGCACAGGGCCATCTTAACCCTTCCAAAGCATACTTTAGGATGGAAGAGACTCCATTTCATAATACATTAAAAATGAAAAAGTGTTTGCAGTAGTAGTACTTGTGTAGACAGGCAGAAGTGAGCTCTGCATGGAGCAGGAAGAGGCTCTACCAATCAGGAGCCTCTCAGCCTGGACTCTGTGGACTAATATCTGTTCATGCTGGGGTTGCCATCAGTTTATGGACGGTCCCAATTATGGTTTAGTGCACAGTGCTTGCAAGAGACAGCAGCTAGTCTCTGCAATTATAAATCAAATGATTGTAGGTAGACAGTGACAGGGAATCTCGGTGTACCATAATTAAAAAAAAAAAAAAAGAGATGTCATGGTGATTGGAAAGTACCTTTAATTCAATATATATGTATTACCAAGCTCTAGCAGGTAAAAAAAACAAAAACAAAAGAGGGACAAACCAATCAAATATAGAACTAGAGCAGACGTTTGATTAATGAAAGAAATAAAATAGAAATAATAGAAGACTATATATAGCTGGAAAGTTTCAATATAAAGATTAATTCCTGGGGGGGGTTTAGCAATTAGTCTAACAAACTAATTTAATCAAGTTGAATCTAACACTAGAAAACTGTGATGCAGTTTCAGGTTAAGTATGATAAACATCATGAATAAATTGAACTAAATCATGACTTTTCCCTTTAAAAAAAATAAATAAACAAAAAAAAAATATAAAAGGTGTTTATATGTAAACTTGATAGCTCTATGTATGGTTTGCAATAGCAAATTTGCAGAATGGTTATAGAATGTAAAGATGATCAAACATATCAAAAATATATTACAAATAATGGACTAGCAGGAACGATACTGCACACCTAACTGAGAATAGTTCTGATAAGAAGACAGAAACCCGATTTACATTGCCAACTCAAATACAAACCAAAACACAAGATTACAGAATTCTCCTCAATTCTGCACAGGCCAATAAAGTCATGGGAAGAATCAGCACTCCTAAGAGCATTAGCATTATAGAAATATTGTAGTTGTGTGCAGGGCCTATGGTATGTTTCATTCTATCAATCTTTTTGCTTATAAAAGGCACTTCAAACACCATAACCACTACAGTTTATGGTGTGGTGACTGTGCAAGGAGAAGGTACAGTCCTTCTGGTTTCCACTGAACCGGGCTACCCGGCACCCAACACCCACCCCTCGGTTTTGGACATAACAATAAGCAAGTTTTCCTTCCTCTTTATCGATCCAGATATTTGTACGGCATGAGAATATCCCTTACAAAACCTCTTACTCTCCTGTACACTACTGTTCAACATGTTTGTTGGCGATTGCCCCTATTTTTCTATTTGGAATTAATCAGCAGCACACAAAAAAGACAGGCTAAACATTCTCTTAAGCGAGAGATTTACAGTATAATTTTAGACAATTGGATAGAATATGTTTTGCCCTCCTCTGTTGAAATTTGATTGCAGTTCATTCTGATATTTTCTAGGGCTCATGCCGCCATCATTCCATTCAGCTCAAGTTACAAATTCTGTTGAATCATGCATTTCTTACACACACACACTATACATATATTGTTTCACCTCCAGACCTTCACATGGACTATGACCAAGTACAGAAGACAGGTGTGAAACGTGGGATGGTACTCCATTGCTATATTGTTGCCACTATGCAGGTTATTGATTGACTAGAACAAAACCACTTCGATTCCCAAGACTTAAGAGCTGCCATACTGATTTACGAACTCTGCACAGAGGCGACTTATTCTATGTATTACCAATATTTTGTATTTATACGGCCTGAATTCTAGTGTCATTGGCAGGTTCCAAAGTGACATTTCTAACTGCGGTAATGTTTATATTGAAAGATGAAATAATTTTGCAAAAACAACGCATAAATAATAAAATACAATATAAGGTGAATTGTGGGACAAAATATTAAAAATATAGTTTGGAGACCATATAGCTGCTCCAAAATGTTCAGTCCCACCCTTTTTAATTTACATCTTTTACCAAAGTAGCCAAACATAAAAATTGGCAAACTTGGAGAATATTTCTAGTTTGGTCTAAAAATAAAATTCACTTTGAATCCTAAGCAATTCTCCATTTAATGAAGAACCTTAAAAGTGGTTCACTGTACTCACTGACAACAGAATGCTGACCAAATTGAGCACACTGGAATCCTGCAATTTTCAAATGGATCTAATTGCTAACTAAATAATATGCACTTAATATTTATTTATGGTTTCTGCTGAGGTCTAATGAGCAGTGTGATTCTACCCTGTCTGTTTTTTTAGAAATGATCTTATAATTATAATTGATACATTTCTGAGATAATATTAATTGTATTATTACGATTATAGAATCCTTGTTATCAATATACTTCACACACCTCACGACGGACCTAGTTTTGTAGCCGACTAACATCTAGTCCGAAAGAACTTTTGAATTTCTGTCTTGTTACCGAGTGACAAAATGTAAGCCTGAAGTTAAGACATTTTTTTAGATGATTTGACCCAATTTTTAAACAGATTTAAAAAAAAAAAAAGGCCTGGAAGAAAGGACTATGCAATTGGATTGAAAGGAGATAGTTCCATCCAAATGACTCCTCATTATCCAAGGTAAAAGTATGGTCAGTGATCATTCTATTTCTGTTCGTAGAAAATACCAAAAAAAAAAAAAAAAAAATTGTTAAATTTAAACGAAAATGCCATTTTCCACACTTTGGTTTTCTTTTTCGGGGAAATAATGGCCTATTATAGCATTTGATGAAAAGAAGGCACTACTGAGAAAATGAATCTTAGTCAGAGAAGAAGGTTTTCATAGTATTAAAATAATTTAAAGTAAAGTCTGTTTACTGACAAAAGATTTAATAATAGGCATTCTTGAAATTTTCATAGTTTAAGGGAAAACAAAGCATTAAAACAACTTTAGCTTAATTAATTGGCTGTGTTGTATAGATCATGTCCCTGTAGTCTCACTGCCGATTTCTGTGCCATTTAGGAGTTAAATCACTTTTGTTTATGTAGACCTGGCCACACCTCATCTATTTGTGACACTGCCTCACTACACACTTCCTGAAAAAAAGAGCATTATAATTTCTTATCTTCTGCTGTCAATTGCCTGATACAGCCAAAGGAAGTCTTTTGTGGGTGATTCAAGTTCAGTTTACTAAGCAGAAGATAAGAACTTGACTAAATATGCTGTGCTGTAAATTCAGTTTGAAAATAAAACCTATTTTTTCATGGAGGCTGTGTGAGTCACAGCTAGGGATGGTCTAGCTACGGCTGCATAAACAAAGTGGTTTAACCACTAAATGGCATAGAGTCTAGCAGTGAGACCTGATCTGTACTCCAAAGCTACTTCATTAAGCTAAAGTTTAGAGTATGTGTGTAAGCAAATTTATTAATAAAATCGTGTAGGATGAGGATAGTGGTGAATTATACTAAATGCAATTGTATGCTAACTAAACACAAAAACAACCCAAAAAGAAAAATATGGTTTGATAAAGAATGGTCTGTTTTTTTTTGTTGTTGTTGTTGTTGTTGTTGATATGTGTGAATAGCCTTAAAAATATGGAATTAAAAAAATGCAAACTGTCAGCTTGAGAGTTTGTGAGTGTATTTATTTTAAGAGAAATCTGCAGAAATTAAACATGATATGCATAGTTTCTCAAGATTAACAAAATATTAAACAAGTAAGAGAACCTAAATATGGAGGTGATCTGCATTTTATCAGTTTGGAAATTGTCAAGTCCAAAGAGCTAGAGAATATGGACAAAACAAAACACGTGTCACTGTCCAAATACTACCCGATATAAGGGCAACCCTTGCACGACACAGTGTCTGCCAAAATCACACATTATGAAGACTGATGACATCACCCACTGTGCAATATGGGATCTAAAATATGATCTGCTATTCATGTCACTAGCCAGACTACATTGTCTATCCCTATAAAGGCACAGATAGTGACAACACACATGCGATTATTTTCCACAATGGTAAACATAGTGGTCAACACTGTGCACTGGAAGGACCCTTGAGATAAAGGTCCTTGCAGTGCATGTCCAAGTGTTTCAGAGATGAGGGAGACTGCACCCATGAGTGGCAGCTGGCACCATTTTAATCCAGGTCTCTATCAAGGTGAATTAATCGCAGCAGCTGAAGTTGCTACACTATTAATGGATAAAGTCAACGGAGTGCTGCACACCAGTAAGTTTACATAGGAGCTCTGTGGAGGGGGGTCCACAGCCCACCAGAAACAACACGAAGTAGAGTTCCACAGGCATCACAATGAAGGGTGAAGGCAAAAATGTATTTATTGGAGATCAAAGAGGATAAAAAAAAAAAAATAGATACAACGCTTCAGCCTAGAGGCCTTAGTCATGTCACATTGTGACGCCTGTGGAATTCTACTTTTCGCAACATCTCGCCATCAGTTATGTCCTGGTTCCGTCGCATTATTAAAATACCTCGTTGCCCCAATGATCCTAGCTTAAAAATATCACGTAATATAAAACACAAAGAGAAGCGTGTATTAGGAAGAAATAATATAATATATAAAAAATATATATTTATATTTGGGAGTCTAGCAACCCCTTAGTTTTGCACCCCTCCCTGTCACAGGTGCCTCATCCGAGGGTCCTATTTAGCCTTGTACTGCAGAGAGCCCCAGATGGATTTTTTTCCCCCCAAGTAAGTGGGTTAATCTCATAAGAGCAGACATTAGGCTGTTAGTGTAGGACCTGCCAAAGATGGGGTGCATAGATGTTGTGGCAGGCTTTTGCAATGTATGATCATATAATGTTACTAAACCACCATTACTTTTGCCTAGATTAGGTGTTTAACCCCTTAAAGACCGGCCTGTTTTTGCAATGTTGTACGTTAAGGACCAGAGCAGTTTTGACACTTTTGTGGTGTTTGTGTTTAGCTGTAATTTTCCGCTCTCTCATTTACGGTTCCCATACAAGTTATATATTGTTTTTTTCAGGACAAGAAGGGCTTTCTTTACATACCATTATTTGTATCAAGTCATTTTTTTTTATTTTTTTTTTAAATGGTGAAAAATTTAAAAAAACAAAAACATGTTTTTGGACTTTTACTTGAAAAATCTTTTACTTATCTACAAAAGCTAATGAAAAAAAACTGCTAAATAGATTTAAAATTTTGTCCCGAGTTTAAATAACACCCAGTGTTTACATGCTTTATTGATTTTATTTTTTGCAAGTTATAGGCCTATAAATACAAGTAGGAAATTGCTGTTTCTATAATTATATATATATTTTAAATTTATCAATAGTGACATTGTAACACCGTTATCGGTCATAAATCCCCGTATATATATATACACACACACGTGTGTAATGTAAATTAAAAGTGTATTTTTATATTAATATACGTATATATAAATATAAAAATACACACTATAATATATATTATATATATATATTCCATTTAAAAGATCAACGTTTCAGTTCCTATCTGGAACTTTCATCAGGATCCTGATGAAAGTTCCAGATAGGAACTGAAACGTTGATCTTTTAAATGGAATTTCAATAAACTGTAAGTTTTAAACTCAACAAAAGTCCGAGAGTGCTGATCACTACTTTACCATATGCAATTTTTCCCTGGATTACAAGCACCCGGCTTACAACTGTCTACAAGCGTGAGTGATCACGTGGGGTCCTGATCTGCCGAGGGGAGACTGCCCGGGCAGACTGGGAGGAGCGCTGATCGCCGCCGGCGATCAGGTAAGTAGCCCTAGACCTTTATGACGGTTCAGGACCGTCATCAGTCCTCAAGGGGATTTTTCCGATGACGGTCCTGAACTGTCATCGGTCGTCAAGGAGTTAAAAAAAAAAAAAAAAAAAAACCCCTAATAAAATCTGTCAACATTGAAGTTGCTGTTTAGTGGATAGGTGAGTGCGCTGGATCTTGGGGAGGAGGGAGATGGAGAGAGAGAGCTCTCAATAAAAAACAAAAAACAAAAAAAAAAAACCCCAAAGGTTATGGTGGGGAATAAATTGTGAAAACCCCTTCCACCTGAAGTCTGTGGATAGTTAATACAATGTTAAACAAAAATCTGCACACTGGTAAAACCATAAGACTTGCTATTCACACAGAAATCACAAATCTGCTGTTCCTACCGCAAAGGATTCTGGGTGGGCATATACAAACTAGTTTAACAAAGAATCACAATTTTGCCTCATTCCATTTTAAACATGGGTTCCTTTGAGTCTGTGTTTGCTGTATGCAACAGCTTTGAAACGTGTGATTCTTTGTTAAACTAATTTGCATATGCCCACCCAGAATCCTTTGTGGTAGTAACATCACTGCAGATTTGTGATTTCTGTGGGAAAAGCAAGTCTTATGGCTTGACTGGTGTGCAGATTTTTGTTTAACATTGTATTAAAAACACACACAGTGTGTGGGTGGATCGATATCTCATCTCTCTGCATGTTACAAACTTTTTTTACACTAAAAATATACTTTAAGCAGTAAAAATATCAATTGCTTTTGATACCAATTACCAACAGCTAATTCACATAACCACAGTGACAAGATCACATATTCTTGCTATGAAACTGCAACCTTAAATCAAAAACAAGTCTGGGCAGTCACTATTTCCTTCCAGGGAGAAGCAAGAGCTTTCTAGATGACGTACAGGTTTTTGCTCCTTTGCTGTTGGTATGGTGTGCCCTCTAGTGTTCAAAAACGAGACAATAACAAGCAATAAATACACTGCATCCAATAAAATGAGGCACTAAAGATTCTTTTAAATCAGAACACCATGACCACTATGTGCCAGCTTAACATCTGAGCACTCTCAGCTAATGAGTGTCTCACTGCACAGTTTAACTTAGCGCAGAAGCTTCCAGCTGGAAACAAGGTGCTGGGTACCCAGCAGATCCCAGGTAAGTTGTCAAACTATTCTCAAACAGTTTGACTACTTATCATGTGCGGATGCCAGGATACGCCTGGCACCATAACTACTGTGAGCTGTAGTTGATAAGGAACTTTGGAGTGTTCTTTTAGAAATAGAAAAAAAAAAATCTGAAAATATTTTTGACATTTTCTGCTATTTTCACCTTTTGTGGAAGGTACTGCATCCATGGCATATATGGATGTTCTTTAATCCTGCCTTAAGGTAAATCACGCACTGACCTAGTTATTTTCATTAAGAAATGTGAGAGCTAGAAAATAGAGCACCTCATTACCGGCTATTGGTTAAGTCCAGAGAACACATCTGAAAAACAAACAGTCTTATACGAAACAGCAACAGCCACAAGAACGTCACTAATCCCAGATTATGACATCTCACAGATAAACCTAAACAAGGACATCAGATGCAGTAGGTGATTACATAACTAATTATTACTCCATCACTCTATAATTACGTTGCGGTGTCACATTTAGATACCTTGCAGGCCAACTGGCAAACTGCATCACAGCTTTACTTAATTAACACACAATAGGTTCCCAGTTTGAATACGTCATTAAAAGAACAATGCACACTCAAGTACGAACCAAAAAAAAGTTTATTTATTTGCAAAAGGAAAGTAAGGATATGCACACATACTTGAAGGGAAAACCCTGCTGTATACTTTTACAAAATAAACTTCAAACACAAAAACAAACAAAAAAATAAAAACATTAAAACAGAGGAGATCTCTCCCCCCCCCAAAAAAAAATATATATAATATTTCCTTTCTTGCACCCTATCCCAGAATCCTAAGAGATAACGGTGCAGTAATAGTATACTCCAACCCCTTTTTTAATTTGCAAGGCAGGAATTACAAAAACTCAGCTTAAATATACGAATAGCAATTAACATTAAGTCCCCACGATATAGAAAAGAGTCCATACTGTCAGGTAAAAATTCCACACAAATAAAGTCGGAATAATAAATCTGTGCCTTTAAGGGCACCTTATCAATAATTAAAGCTAATCTAACTGCCTAACAAAGACCGCCTGCTAACTAACCCAAGATCAGCATAATTATATTTGCTACTAGGAGTATATACCTGCCATAGTTTGCAGGAGGCTAGTATGCCAGAGACCTCAGCCACCCGAAGTTTTAGTGAAATAAATTCAACTGGATGATAACTTAAAGGTATAAAGGTAAAAAGGTATCGTTATCGGTGGTTGGAGGTGTCAGGCTAAGTGAGCCCCGACAAGGGTTTCTGTTAATATCATCAACTTCCAAACCCCTTCCCACCCCCCTCTATTTTTGTTCACTCCTATATATGCAGCATTTACCTTAGGAGCAACCAACTTGTTTTATGGTTAATTTTTTTCCCCCACTTGAATATTACTATTATTACTAGGATCTTGACGGTGTACTATTGGTCTAGTATCCCTAGATGAGGGAACTATTTAAAATTTTAGCTATATAAGTTACTTTTTATTATTAAGTAAGTTTGCCACAAAAAAACAAACAAACAAAAAAAATGTATTGTGCTCCAATATCGAAACGCTCTCAGCAAGGCTGGTGTAGGTTGAGGAGCAATGGACAGCGTGGTCATCTTTATTTGGCATCCTCTCAGTCCCTGGAAAGGCTCGTGCCCTCAGTTCCTTGATACAGGTTAAGCATCTTTCACTTTTGTTTTTTGTTTTTTTTACTTCTTTAGTGGATTTTGACCTAACATTATGGACTGTATTCACTACGTCATATGGACTAGATGTTAATGTATACTCACAGTAATAGTATAATTAACAACTATCTTGAGAGAATCTTATATAGGGTCACTTTTTGTCTTTATATGAGGAGGATCTCCTGAAACATTTGGTGCCACAGCAAGGGTGCATAATTCGCTATTGCACTATGGAATATTATCCTTTAATGTAATTTGTGTAGTGCCTGCCTGGTAGAGATGGAATATTGTCAATGTCAAAAGGGGTTAATTTGATTGTATGAATGGTCAGATGACAGAAGGGGTAATGTAAATTGCATAGGTATGTTAAAAGGGTTTTACCATATGGGTGGATCCTGTGAATTAATCAAAGGCTCTGCAAGGTGTGAGATTCTACACTTCAAAAGCCTGAATGCCTGGTTTCAGTCACATGGCCTGTACTTCTTAATTAACTAAATCAATCTCTTTAATATGTTAATGGCCATTAGCCTTGTTCCAGTATCATATCCAAAATAAAAAAACAATATTTACCCACAGAATAATAATTAAGCCTCATATTTCTTAGATTTGGAATGTGACAAGCGCCATCTTCTAAACAAGCCCAAACATGTTTGGCATAATTTAACCATAGGGGAAAGGATTTTTATGTTTGCTATATCGGGTCGCAAGTAAGGTGTATGACATATCTATGGAATGGAAAAATAATAAATTTGAAGATGCAATTACTATTTCAGTGGCAGGTACATAAGAGAAGATAGAACCAAATGTTTCCATTTGGATAGATGCGGGGGTGGTCACTTAGTGTCTATAGAAAAGCCTTAACTCCACTTCTGGGTGGGGCGTGGTAATCCACAGGGTATATCTCTAATGATACTTAAGGGTGCATGGTACTTGCTTGGGGGCAGAAACTAATTCTAAGCGGGCCACCAAGAGCCGAGTAAGTAATTAGGACTTTGGTATTTTATCCCTTTTGTTGGTATAAATAATTTTGATTGTCATATATATTTTTGTATGCCCTGTAACAATTTATTTCTACCTTTGTCTGGTAAAGAATTACGTTACCTGAAGAGACTAAGTAGTATTTTAGCAATTCCTTAAATATTGGGCTTAAAAGTTGTATTTGGTGTTTTTTTAATTTTTTTATTATTGATTTTACCCTATTTCTAAATTGTCTTGGTGGTAGCAGCGTTAAAATAGTAATAGTTCTATTATTATGCTTAAAGGGACACTATAGTCACCTGAACAACTTTAGCTTAATGATGCAGTTTTGGTGTATAGAACATGCCCCTGCAGCCTCACTGCTCAATCCTCTGCCATTTAGGAGTTAAATCCCTTTGTTTATGAACCCTAGTCACACCTCCCTGCATGTGACTTGCACAGCCTTCCATAAACACTTCCTGTAAAGAGAGCCCTATTTAGGCTTTCTTTATTGCAAGTTCTGTTTAATTAAGATTTTCTTATCCCCTGCTATGTTAATAGCTTGCTAGACCCTGCAAGAGCCTCCTGTATGTGATTAAAGTTCAATTTAGAGATTGAGATACAATTATTTAAGGTAAATTACATCTGTTTGAAAGTGAAACCAGTTTTTTTTTCATGCAGGCTCTGTCAATCATAGCCAGGGGAGGTGTGGCTAGGGCTGCATAAACAGAAACAAAGTGATTTAACTCCTAAATGACAGTGAATTGAGCAGTGAAATTGCAGGGGAATGATCTATACACTAAAACGGCTTTATTTAGCTAAAGTAATTTAGGTGACTATAGTGTTCCTTTAAGTGTGGGTGGTGTTAAGGGGGAGTTTTCCATTATTTCCGGTCTAGTGCAGACAAATAGTAAACTTTAACCCTTTCATCGCCACAGCTACATCACGCACACTCTTGAATTAGGATGCGTTCGTGACAAATTGAGTCCAATTTTTCTGTATTTGATATTTTTGGGAATTATTTTGTAAAACTACAAAACAGGGTTTTCCCCTGTGAATATGTGCATACTCTGAGTTTCCTTTTGCAATTAAAAGGACACTATAGTTATCCAGGCCACTTCCATTTATTGAAGTGGTCTGGGTGCAATGTCCCTGCCCCCCTTAGTCCTAGCATTTACGTTGTAGTACAAGGACAACCTCTAGTGGCTAGAGGCGCTTCTGGGATTCAAACAACCTCAGAGTCCCTTAAACGACGCTAGACATGCTCAAGCTCTGCCTGAGGAAATACAGTGTCAGTAAAATCACCATAGTAAAAAAGCACTACGCATCAGAGCCCCTGTCAGATGATGTCAGAGAAGGCAGAGTGCAGACTCTGCGCTGGAATCGAATGACTAAAGTTTTTTTATTAACACTTTATCTGCTAGGGGTGGGGAGTGGCACAAGGGTACTATTGTGTTAGGAATACAGATTATTACTATAGAATCCCTTTAAATGAAACTTTAAGCAAACGTTTATTTTATTCGTACTTCGTTCTTGAGTGTGCATGGTTCTTCTAATGATGCTTTGTATGTTTTAATTTTGGGCTTTGGAAATTCCCTCAAACTAGATGCACTTCTGGATGAGTGCCAGGGATACTTGATATTTTTAATGCCTTAGAGACTAGAAACTATTTTTGTTTGTTTTTATTGTTGGTATAGCAACAGAAAATTATACCTTTTTTTTTTTTAATAAAATGTATCTGTTAAAAGTAAAGTTTTAATTAATTAAAGGGACACTCTAGTCACCAGAACAACTACAGCTTATTGTATTTGTTCTGGTGAGTAGAATAATTCCTTTCAGGCTTTTTGCTGTAAACACTGCCTTTCAGAGAAAAGGCAGTGTTTACATTACTGCCTAGTGATAACTCCACTCGCCACTCTTCAGGTGGCTGCTAGAGGTGCTTCCTGGAGCAGTGCTGCACAGTGAGCAGCACTGCCATTTAGTGTCTCCGCCCTCTGCATGCAGACACTGAACTGTCCTCATAGAGATGCATTGATTCAATTCATCTTTATGAGGAGATGCTGATTGGCCAGGGCTGTGTTTGACTTGTTCTGGCTCTGCCCCTGATCTGCCTCCTTGACATCCTCAGCCAATCTTATGGGAAAACATAGTGATTGGCTCAGACCACCACTTCTGATGATGTCAGCAGACAGGTAGAGGGCAGCCAGGGCAGAGCCAGCAGCTGCAGACTTGAATACAAGTACGATTTTACTATATTTAGGGAGGCAAGAGGGGGAAAGGGGAGCTAGATGGTGGTTTTTATACAATAGGGTCAGGAATACATGCTTGTGTTCTTGAACCTATAGTGTTCCTTTAAAGTCTGTTTGGAACCTCAACTTGTCAACTATTGAACATTGAAACAAATGTAGACCAAGTTCTCCCCAGTGTAATCAGCAGTCATTTGCTGGAGACTGATATCTGATGAAAATCCTATGAGCATGAAATAGAATGTTTTGGTAATGTCAAGTTTTCAACCATCTGAAAAGATCTTCCAAAGACCATGGTTTTGTATTCTATAACAAGGGTCCTATGAATGATAATTTCTATTAGTGGCTGTCAAGAGAAGTTCTGTGAGTGACTTTTAACTTCATTAAACACACTTTCCACCTGTTGAACCCAAGTACAAAATTAAAGGAACATTATAGTGTTGGGAATACAAGCATGCATTTTTTATGTTATAGTGTCCGTTCAGCTAGTTAGGATGCAGTGACACAAGCAGAATAAACAGAGTAACATGACAGCATACTCAGAAAGGAACACTAATCACAAAAAGAAAGAATTAAATAAATCACAGCTACAGCTTAATGAACCAGTTTCAAGGGAATCTCTGGGCACCATAACAATTTAATCAGAATGATGGTTACCCCAAAGTCTTCTCTTAGGAGCCATTTAGTGCTGCCCTGTCCTTCCGCTTCTCTCAGAATCAGTACCTTCCCATTTGTAACCAGCTTGAGAAGTTGTAGAACTTCAACTGCCACGATGCTTTGCATGCCTTTAGAATGACAAGGCATCATGGAAGTTGTCGTTTTAAAACATCTGGGGATCTACCTTTTGGGCAACCCTGGCTTAGAGCATCAGATAGGTGCCCCTGTCTATACATCAAAACTGCTACATTAAGATAAAGTTGTTTTGATGCTTAGAACGTCCCTTTAACTGTGCTACAGGAAGGAGTCCCTGTTTCCCTACCACTAGACACCCGGGTGGGGAGGGGGGTGGGTAATAGTCCTGGATTGACTTAGGTCAGCCAAAAACCTAAATATGGTACCCAAGTGCGCTTTTCTAAATTCAAACTCTGTTACAAAATGCTGAACAAGCTATGAGGATATTATACAGCTTTTAACAATTAAATTGTTTTTATCCATTGCTGTATGCATTACGGTTACAATAAAATAAGTATTTAAAAGAGACAGGACCACATAACTTATATAGGATCCCAAGCTTTGTGGTGTCTTGTAAAGAGCTGAGCATTTTGCTTTCATGCAACAAATTAATTCAAAAGCAAAACATAATATGTCATAACCATAAACAAGAAACTCCTCCGTTTAGTCCATTTTCATTCTAGCACTCACACCATCCACTTGATTCGAAAAATGTATAAATCTCATTTATTTGTGTGGGTTAGATTCCCTGAAACAAATCAGTAACTGGACCCATTTTCATTTGAAAACAAAAATCTAATTCATTGCTTCAAAAGACCTATTTAAATTTAATTTACAAAATCCGTTTAGTTTACCATCGGAATTGCGCACATGGCTCAGCCTTAATCTGTAACAGAATAATCTGCACTTCATCGAGGCTCCCAGAGGACAAAGTGAAATTATGTCAAACACCTGCCACAGTGAATCCGCTCCAACTTTCCATCTGACATGCTTCACATTGCTGCAGCAACATGTTGCATAAATTAAATAGTTTGTCAGAGTTAAACCAGTACAAGATGTCAGGCCTCGGTCAAATGCCAGATTGTCAGCGAGGAGAGAGTATGGTATTAAAAATTTGCACAAAAAGGTGCTGGGGGTATCCAGGACACCAATGGGCCATTGACACACCCCACATATCTATTCAAATATACATTTTTTTTTATAGCATTTTAAGATGGTGGCTAAGTGGTCGTTTTGTTAGGAATGTAAACAGAGCCTAAAATGTAAAATCTTACACTTCTAGACAGGCTTAAATTCACTTGCTACTGCAATCTTGGAGGAACCATTGTGGGCTCAGGGGTAAAGATCTACTCACCAGGGCTGAAAGGGACACTAAACATCACTCAGACCACTTCACCTGAATGAAGTGGTCTGGGTGCAGAGTTCCTCTCTCATTATGCCTGCCCATAAAACATTGGCATTGTGTCAGGAACACAGCCACTATAGGCACTTTATCAGCTATAATGGAGTCAAACTTGGTTATAGGTTCCTAGAGGAGTATTGCCAAGCATGCGGACTAGTCCGCCAATGCTTTCCTATGGGTATGATTCAGGGGAAAAAGTATTGATCCCCTGCTGATTTTGAACGTTTGCCCACTGACAAATTCTATAATTGTAATGGTAGGTGTATTTTAACAGTGAGAGACAGAATACCAAAAAAAAAAAAAAAATCCAGAAAAAAAACCATGTAAAAAAAGTTATAAATTGATTTGCATGTCAATGAGTGAAATAAGTATTTGACCCCTTCGACTTAGCACTTGGTGACAAAACCCTTGTTGGCAATCAGAGGTCAGACGTATCTTGTAGTTCGCCTGACCTCAGGAGGGATTTTATCCCACTCCTCTTTGCAGATCCTCTCCAAGTCATTAAGGTTTTGAGGCTGCCTGGCAACTCGAACCTTCAGCTCTCTCCACAGATTTTATATGGGATTAAGGTTTGGAGACTGGCTAGGCCACTCCAGTACCTTAATGTGTTTCTTCTTGAGGCACTGTTTTGTTGCCTTGGCTGTGTGTTTTGGATCATTGTCATGCGGGAATACCCATCCACGACCCATTTTCAATGCCCTGGCTGAGGGAAGTAGGTTCTCACCCAAGATTTGATGGTACAGGGCTCCTTACATTGTCCCTTTGATGTGGTGCAGTTGTCCTGTCCCATTAGCAGAAAAACAGCTCCAAAGCATAATGTTTTCACCTCCATGTTTGATGGAGGGATGGTGTTCTTGGGGTCACAGACCGCATTCCTCCTCCTCCAAAACACGGCGAGTTGAGTTGATGCCAAAGAGCTCGATTTTGGTCTCATCTGACCACAACAATTTCACCCAGTTCTCCTCTGAATCATTCAGATGTTCATTGGCACACTTCAGGGGCCACCACGATTTCAGTCCTTCACAGCAAAGTTTGTTACCAATTGTTTTCTTGTGACTATGGTCCTAGCTGCGTTGAGATCATTAACAGGATCCTCCCATGAAGTTTTGGGCTAATTCCTCACCGTTCTCATGATCATGGAAACTCCGCGAGGTGAAATCTGGCATGGAGCACCAAACTGAGGGAGACTGACAGTTATTTTGTGTTTCTTCCATTTGCGAATATTCACACCAACAGTTGTCACCTTCTCGTCAAGCTGCTTGGCGATGGTCTGGTAGCCCATTCCAGCCTTGTGTAGGTCTACAATATTGTCCTTGACATCTTTGGACAGCTCTTCGGTCTTGGCCATGGTGAAGAGCTTGGAATCTGATTGCTTCTGTTGACAGGTGTCTCTTATACAGGTAACGAGCTGAGATTACCTGTGTAAAAGACACCTGGGAGCCAGAAATATGGCTGATTGATAGGGGATCAAATACTTATTTCACTCATTAACATGTTAAAATACACCTACCATTAAAATTATGGACTGATCATTTCTTTTTCAGTGGGCAAATGTTCAAAATCAGCAGGGATTCAAATACTTTTTGCCCTCACTGTAAACTTATGGTTATTGTAATGTATTCATTTTATTTTAAATAATTTTAAAAAGTCACTTTGAAAAAGCCTTGTTCTGCCTTGAATAATTGAAATTACATAAATTCAAAATAATTAACTTTAGGTATCTCTCCTGCATATAAAAGTTATTATAATACTAAACTGTATCCATAACTAAAATAATAGAATGGATATTTTGTCTATCTGGAAAAATTACCGTATATTTGAATACAAAAGAAACTGGGAAATTTACTTTTTACATTTTATCCCAAAGAAGCCGCATTTGAAGTTGTAAGATGGGTAATGCTACCCATTATAAAAACACACAGTACTTAAGCACCAATACTAGGTATGCAGATAAAAAAAAAAAAAAAAAGTTAACCCAAGATGTCCTTTATATCACACACATAATAGATTATATATAATCTCTTATTTTATATGTATGATGTACAGCAACATCTATATAATGGGTGTTATTAAAACATATGTTCTGAATTAAGTAGACAGGCTCTGACTCAGAGCACTTATTTAGATACCTGCTAGTTTCCAAGTTCCCGTGCATGCCATTCCTTGCAATATCCACTGGAGGTCGCACTGCCCCAATATACTATAGAGCTCTGCATTCAACCTTTGAATTGATGTTGTATCAAGATAGACAGAAAATTATAATTAACCCATTTGGTACTCGGGAGGGAATTCAAATAATGTGTATGCATTTCTAATTTTATTGAAATCAGGTAATTATCATGAACATAACTTGTGTTTAGTGAGGCTAAATGGATTAACTAAATCAAAGCACTTTGTTTCATCCTATAGCTGCCCTTTAATGCTTTTAGAACAACCTATATATCTGTTGCTGTAAAAAAAAATGCACAGATTTGCTTTGTCGATCCTAATTACACTGTTTCCCCCCTACAAACTACATTCTAAGAAAACACTTAACAAATAGGATAAAGTGTTTAATAGATTTCCAGTGATACTTTTTACCTCTTCACCCTCCTCTCCTCTTGATTTCTACACCAGATTCAAACACTTAAAGCTAAGATTTAAAAATGACCAGGCATGCCGAATACGTTCCACTCTTGCTTGTATACTTTTTAGAAAGTTTTGTCTAGCTTTTGATTTGCCTAGAAGTGTCACCATGACAATTTCTTGCATGATAGATGCACATTAACCGTTTCAATTCCAGAGGTGCTCCTTCTAGTTCGCATAACCGCAGGCAGTCAAAAGGTAATAATATCTGCTTGATACACAGGTCAGGTATACATTTCCAAAGTTACAAATGTGCTAAAAATCATTGTTATTACAGTCTGCCATTAACTGGTGTATTAAAAATACTACATATACTATTCTAATTATTAGCATTCATAAGTGCCAAAATATAATTATTATTACTGGCATTTAAAAAGAGCCAACATATTCCACATCCACAGTGCTGTACAAATTGGGGGGAAAGTACAATATCCACAGATCAATGCAATAAGGTAAATAGGGCCATATTCTGCAGTGCTTTACAATTATAGAGTTAAAGAAGGCATTGCTCAACCAAGCTTACAATCTATGAGGTAGGTGCATATATATCATTAGGAGTCTTACTGGTGAGGTGATCTGACTCTAGATGTCCCAGTTCTATGGCATTAATGAGTTGAAGAATTTTTACAAATACTAGGCTATAAACATGTACATGGATATATTTGTAAACAGGATTTTTTAAAATACATTTGTACTCCAGGAACACTTTACATTGCTATACTGTGATCTAACAAAACATGTTAAGGCAGTTTAAATCCAGATAATTGGTCCCTTTACTGGTTAAACCAGAAAAGGATGTGATGCTTCCAAAATGGCATCCTCCATACTGCTTGTTGCTATGGTCACATCTGTGTCAGGCCTGCACGGTCTATCCTGCCTTAAGACCTGTTTGTTTACGACAGGTCTAGGTGTTTGTTACTGTGCCTGCATCAGCCCTCCAATACAGAGTGCCAGCGGCAGTTGGTTAGGTAATCAGCATGCAGCAGAGGAAGTAATGCTGTGGAGCCCAAGCAAACTCTCTGAATGCCTGCATAGGAAGGACAGTCTCAATGCCATCACAGAACACAAATAAGGATTCTATTAGGTAGAACGTTATCAAAAGCTCTAACCACAACGTCCTCAAAGCAGCATTGTGCAACTGGCAAAATAAAAACTGCACCAACAGAAACATTCATACTGTTTAAAAATAAATTCATCCATGGAGATATAAAATGTGTGTTGACCTCGTGGTTGCATATATATTTATTATAGTACTTTTTTTTTTTTCTCCATTAAACATTTTTTTTTTAAACGTTTAGCTCCACAGCAGTTGAAGTGCCTGAGATTGTTTGTTCCCAGTTATCTTAAGTGCTGTGGAATGCATCACATTTACACGCACATTCAGTGTCTGCTATCCCCACCACTTCACCCACGTGTGAGTAATGGGACGTTGAAATGATGATACCTGCCAAAGGCAGGCAAAAAAAAAGTGCAGCTTGCTCAGAGCCACTGCCCAGGAGTGGAACGTCCATCAATCTCAGACAGTTTGAGAAAAGGTGCCTTTAGGAACAATGAAGTTACATTTTGATTCACAGTCTGACGGCATCTTGTGAAAGGTTTAAAAACCAAACAGTCTGCTCTTTAAATTATCAGGCAGATTATGTAGTTTATACACATAAATATTGTGATTTATACGCTAAACACCAAACTGTAGCGTTCTAAAAACTGCTAAATTAAGGCAAAATCAGTGCATTTGGAAAATGTATCCAGCACGACTATATAGTCACAGCTTTTCGGTTTTAGATTAAATTTTGCAGTGTAGTTTTCAATTCATTATAAATTCTTCTTTTTTTTTTTTAGAGAATAAACACCATTATATATACACACACCGCTTTGAATATCCATATCAAAATCTGTGTGTTGAACTGATAACTTTACTAAATCCAAAGTCAGAGACTTTTACAGCATTGTCAGCAAGTCTTCGTGAACACTTCCTGACAATGACAGCAGATAACATTCTAATACAGGGAAACATGTCCATGTTGACTTCCAGGAGTATCACATTTAACACTCAGGCGGTCCATGTTGATAAACTGGTTGCATTATGAAGGGGAACACTACCAGGACTGTAGGGGTTATAGGCAGCCGCTTAATACAAGGTTGTATGAACATCAACAACAAGAATGAATGAAATACTCATGGGAACTATTGTTTGCACCTACAGGCAATATTAAGGTCTGTAGAATTAGTTAAAGTGTATTAATCTAGTTTCACCTCCGTCTTAATGGTACAGAATATTTGTAGTATATTTACATGTCAGGCATGAATTTCTCTAAAGGGTGTTTAAAAAGTAAAGTCTCATGACTCACTGGGATACTGAGCATCTGTGCTCTATGCCAACAGGCTTTCAGTTTACTCAAGATAATTTCTGTTTTTTTGAATACTCTTCAATTTTTTAACTTTTCTGAATGAAAATAATTTAAAAGTGCAGCTATTTTAGACCAACATGTGAGCTTTTCTTCAAAATTCACATGGATTCACACTTCACTGAATATATATATGGTGTTCAAGTAGAGATTGTAGCCGTATTAGTCCAGCGTCGTCTTGCTCAGAAATGCTTCAGATTTGAGAAAGGGAGGTTCTCCCGAAAGCTGGTCATTAAAAAATTCTGTTAGTCCAATAAAAAAAAGGTATTACAAGATTCGAATTTTTAACGTTTTTTTTTTTTACATACATACATTATACACACACACACACACACACATATATATATATATACATACATATACATATACACATACATAAATACATACATACACACACACACACACACACACACACACACAGCTAAAACCACTGACAGGTGAAGTTATTTTCAATTGTTGGAAACAGGAAAAATGGGCAAACAAAAAGATCTGAGTGACTTTGACAAGGGCCAAATAGTGATGACTGGACAACTGGGTCAGAGCATCTAAAAAAAAAAAAATGGAAAGTCTTGTGGGGTGTTCCTTGTATGCAGTGGTTAGTACCTACCAAAAGTGGTGCAAAAAAGGACAACTGGTAAACCAGAATCAGGGTCATGGGCACCAAAGACTCATTGATGTGTGGGAGGATAGAAGGCTAGCCGGTCAGGTCCGATCACACAGAAGAGCTACAGTAGCTCAAATTGATTAAAAAAAAAAAAAAAAAACACATGATGCTGGCCTTGATAGAAAGGCTTCAGTACACACAGTGCACCTGATGGTCTGGGGCTGTGTAGCTGCCAGTCAGAGTGCCTGTGATGCCAACTTTCCACTGCCAAAAGCACCTTCAATTTAGACATGAGAGTCAGAACTGGACCATGGTGCAATGGAAGAAGGTTGCCTGTGAATCAAGTTTTCTGTTAGATTAGGTGGATGCAGGGGTGCCTCGTTTACTGGAGGAAGAGATGGCAGCAGGATGCACTGGGCCATGTTCTGCTGGGAAACCTTGAGTACTGGCATTCATGTTGATGTTACTTTGACACATACCACTAACCTAGAGATTGTTGCAGACCATGTAGACCCCTTCATGGCAATGGTGTTGCCAGATGGCAGGGGGCCTCTTTCAGCAGGATAATTCACCCTGTCACACTGGACAAATGGTTCAGGAATGGTTTAAGAAAGATGATAAATAGTTCAAGGTGTTGCCTTTGCCTTCAAATTACCAAATTATTTTTCTATAGGACATTGTGGGTTAATAGATAAGTATGTTTTAACCAAGTCTTATTTATTATCCCTAAAGCCAGCAATTCAACAAAGCATGATGGGAATTTCACATAATACATTAGATTTTTCATGAGGTTCCAAGGCAATAAGCAATAATATCTCTGCCCGCTTACAAACCCTATAAGGCTTTTGGCTCCCATCTTGCACCATTCTGTTGACAATCACCGTAACAGTTCCTGGAAGGTTCACACTAGGATACAAAACCAATTAAGCAGTGATGTCATCTAGACATGATTAACTACATTGTTGAAGATTATGTAAGCGTTTATCACAGAATTACTGGCAGTCACTTTAGGACATATAGAAAGCAAATGTTACAGGCCCAGTTTTATACCCCGGCTCCCTGCAATTGCACTCTAAACTATATTTCACTTTTTAAAGATAATTGGTAATAAAAAAATAAAAAAAAAAAAAGAAGAAGAAGGTTATAGCTATAATTCACACACACACACACACACACACACACACACACAAAATATAGTACATCATTTTAACACATTTTTACTTTTTAGTATTTCACAAAAGGCATATTTAATAAATACTCAGACAGACTGTATAGGAATTTAATAGAAATTCTATCAAAATCCAAAAATACCATAAGCCGAATTAGGGACTTTGACAAAAGGTGGAGTTTCAACATTATTTTTATTAAAACTACAGCAGCCGCCTCGCTCATTGCAAGAAGAATGCCATCTATGGAAGCTCTCAGTCTCATAGAATTCTCCATACACCTCAGTATTGTACTCACACACATGCACCAGAGACACGGCTCCTGGCAGGTGAAATGTCAGGAGCCGAATGAAGATCTACAAGAAGAAGATGACCCACCAGTGATGAACAGCTTCAGGTATGTAGAACTAATTTCCACTGCAACCTAAATGGTGATGTCCCCTTCAGGTGTTTTGCAAAATATGCAAAGATTCCCGAAATAGCAAGATCCACTTTAAAAGTAGCGGAGAAATGTTTATAGGAGAAAAGAGACCAGCACAAAAAATGTAGTAGAATTTTAGAGAAACAAAGCAAGAGACATTTTATCTAAAAACACCCAAAATTAGGAGCCTGTAGTAATATGTCTGGCTTCCTGACACCTGGGATTTCTATGTATTAGGAGTTATGCAAAGAGCCATTCTGGGGCAAAGCCATGTAAGATGAGCATGTAAAATTGAGACATTTGGGGGGGCGTGGCCTGACCACCGAGAGTAATGGCTGCTTAAGCTCAGAGCTCTGCGCCCTGCACGACCCAAAACGCCACGCAAGAAGCACTTACATCCCTGCCGACGTTCCCAAACTCCTCTCACCACAAGAGGGACATACCGGGAGATGGCGACGCACAAAAAAAGCGGCAAAAAACCGAAGGAAGGTACCCTGTCAGTGGCCGACCTCCTCGCAACGCCTAGACCGCATGTAAGCAAAGATGGCGGCGGCCAGATAAGCGCGGGCTCCCCAGACTCCCCGAGCACCGGAGAGCACAGGCACCAACCCCCACAGACGTCCAACGCAGAGATTCTTCAATCCCTGGCAGAGGTAAGACACTACCTGGCAGGGGAAATAGAGAGATCTGCAAGGGAGGTCAAGGAGGAGATTCAGTCAGTGGGGCAACGCACAGAGGCCTTAGAATGGAGGATGGACCAGGTGGTAGCGGCACACAATGAAGCAGCCTCCACCACTAACCACCTCATCACAAGGGTGGCTGAACTAGAAGCAGAAATTGAGGATGCCTCAAATAGGTCCCGCAGAAATAACTTAAGGGTTAAAGGCCTACCGGAAAGAATAAAAGATGCTGACATACAGAAGGTGCTCCTGGGGCTATTTAAAGAGCAACTACCAACCATACCAGAACACCTGTGGACCATAGACAGGGCACACAGGGCACTAAGAGCAAGAGGCCCTCCTGACAGCCCCCCCAGAGATGTAATAATGCGGTGGCATTTCTTCTCTACCAAGGAAGCCATTATAAAAAGCGCCCGCCGCCACACTTACTCACTGGATGGCTCCACAATACACCTATACCAGGATATAGCACCCGCCACACTAGCCAGGAGAAGGGAATGGAAACCCATAGCCGACCTAGTCAGGGCCAAAGGCCTCAACTTCGCATGGGGCCACCCCTTCAAAATGCTAGTATTCAACGGACCGAGACCGGACGTACTTCTACCCTCAGCGGACCCTAAAGCCTTCCTCCGCAATTTGGGAATAGAAATCCCAGAGGATTTCCGACTCCCCCACAGAGGTACACAAGCATTGGGACAACTACCCAGAGAAGAAGCGGCACAGGACGGCGGTGTAAATTGAGGGGCCCTCAGAGGCCTCCTCCCCAAAAGGCATTCCTAAACACAGACCTAGACAGACCTAGACCGCCCTAATCCTTCCCCCAAACTGCCCCTAAAACTAAGACATAAACCCAAGTCACGGACGATAATACAACAAAACACAACGACATAGAACAACGCTGATACAGAGAATACACCTCAAATGGAAAACGACAATCAACAAAAAGAATGAACGAAGGAAAAGAATTAACATAGATGCCAACTGGGAACTTGAACAGTCGCAGAGCCCTGGACTGAGAGGAGCTGTAGGGGCGTGAGGGGGATGGGGGGGGCGAGAAGAGGTGGGAAGGGGAGGAAAAAAAAAATATAAACGCACACCTATAATTACGAGGGTGGGAGGGATGGAGGGGGGAGAAAATGGGAACACAACAATACAAAAATAAATAAATAAATAAAAAAAAAAAACCTTAACACGCACACTTCGATCGGAATACTGAACCGGAGACGACGGACCAAGTAGTAAGAGGACTTAACACACCGGGATGCGGTGTAATACTGGACTAAAGAGTACTCAACGCAGCATTACGGACTCTAACCTTACCAAGGCACGTCTATAACCAGGACAGCACCGGTGACAACCAGGGAAAGGGACTTGGAACCACAGTGTTGCCCCAACCCAATAGGCAACGAACCGGATGATCGGGAACATCACTGACACCACCTGCCACGCAAGTGTACATCCCTTCTCCTCCCCCCCCCCTTTTTCTTTTTTCTCTTTCCCTCTCTATTTCTTTGGCACTATGCTTCCCCCCTGCTCTTCTCTCTTGCTCATGTCCTAATCTCCAACATAACTAGAAAATGATAATGGACGGGAGGGAGAGATACAACCTCTATGTTCTATCTCTTTAATGTTGCACATCTGCGATTGTTCAAAGTAATGTAATGATTGAACGTATAATATAATGCTGTTATCTCTGTACACACGTGACTTGACATGAGAGGACACACAGACCCCACAACCTAATAGGGAACTGACGTATATGTACATGGAAACTCTCACTTGGGTCGGCGACAGGGTGCTCAACGGCTGATTGTCCCCTCCGTGCTACACAAAGTACCCGCGGGGCGGATAGCCACCCCCCGATACACCCGGCGCGACTAAGACCGGGGATAACCCCCACCACACCCTGCACCCCCCCCCCCACTACACGGGCCTCCCAGAACCCACGGATCCTTGAGGGAACCGAGAGCTCGCGTTCCCCCGGGGATAGTCACAACCCCCTCCCCTTCTTCCTTAACCCTCAAAACCTCCCCGGGGAGGATCCCCTCCCCTACCCTCCCCCATCCTCTTAGAGACTAGGAGAGATAACTCTCCCTCGCTTGCTGACCCTCACGCATCGCTCCTCGCGGGGGCGTGCGGCGGATAAACCTGACCCCACCAACCGCACTTCGGGCGGGACCTGGGCAGACTATGGCCACGCTTAAACTAACCTCCCTAAACGTTAACGGCCTTAACACTCCAACCAAACGGCGTCTATTAATGAGAGAACTAAAACGGCAAAAAAAAAACATAGCCTTCATACAAGAATCACATATACTGCGCTCAGCCCGGATTCAGCTAACTGACCACCTCTACACCAGGGCATACTCCTCCAGAGTATTGGTGAAGAAAAACGGAGTAGAAATACTCCTGCACAAAAAATGCCCCTTTGTCACCCAAACGACACAAGTTGACACGATGGGTCGGTACATCATCCTCACCGGGACGGTATACACCACCACATACCATCTAATTAACATCTACGCACCCAACCACCCAGACCCAGACTTCTGGGACGACCTACACAACCGGATACACGCGCTGCCATACGGAATAATAGTCCTGGGGGGCGACATGAACGCAACTCCCAGCCCGCCAGTCGACCGTAGCTCACCGACAGGGGGCCAGAGAACACCTAGGGCCGGGGGACAGGACAAACTACTATCCCAGTTCATACACAAAACGAAATTGCTCGACCCCTGGAGGTTGCGGCACCCAGGACAGAGAGACTATACATTCTTCTCGGCGGCACATTCCACATACTCCCGCATAGACATATTCCTGGTCAACCAGAGAGGGATCCCATGGATCCAATCTGCACGAATTAACCTCATCACGTGGTCGGATCACGCCGACATCGAGCTTATTTTACGACTCCCGGGGCCCAGGCCACCATGGAAATGGAGATTGAACAGCACACTTATCAAAGACCCTGAGGTGACAAAACTAATCCGGGACGAAATAACAACCTACTTTAATGAGAACGACAGGCCGGAGGTGACCCAAACTACGATCTGGGCCGCCCACAAGGCGGTCATCCGAGGCACCCTTATCAAATTAGCGACTCGGCGGAAAAAACAGAAGGCGGAAACCCTCTTCGAGCTCCAAAAGGCGCTTAGGAGGGCAGAAGCCAAGCATAAGCAAACTCCCTCGACACGGGGTTTGCAAGACCTTCGGGCACTCCGACATACGATCCGAACCTTGGCGATCGAAGACCTGGGAAAGGATCTTGTCCGTAAAAAACGCCTTTTTTACGAACGCACTAATAAGATGGACACCCTCTTAGCCAGGGCCCTAAACCCCAAACAACAATTCAAGGCCATAACGGCGATTAGGGACAAATCGGGACAGATGACACATAACCCCAAGGAATTTAATCAAATCTTCTCGGAGCTCCTAGTAAACATATATAACCACTCCCCAGAACTGAACAGCAACAATGAGTCCCACAAACGAACGGTCGCAGACTACGTATCTAATACCCACATGAAGAGCCTGACGCAGGAAGCCATACTTGCCCTGGGCGCACCGATAGAGGGGGACGAGGTAGATAGGGCAATCACAGCACTCAAAGGGAACAAGGCTCCGGGCCCAGACGGCTACGATGGTTCCTACTATAAACTCCTTAGAGACACGTTGACCCCAAGGTTGGTGAAGGTATACGGGGAATGGATGGACGGGGGACACCCTAACCCAGAAACTCTCACAGCAGATATCACCCTCATCCCTAAACCAGGTAAAGATCCTACTGAGGCCGGGAACTATAGGCCTATCTCACTGATTAATTTTGATGTTAAGGTGTTTGCAAAAATCCTAGCGACACGCCTCAATCCCCTCCTAGGCACACTGGTCCACCCAGACCAAGTCGGCTTTGTACCATCGCGACAACTATACGAAAACACCAGGAGGGGGGCGAATGTCATATGGTGGGCGGTGAGGACCCGGACGCCTTCTCTGATCCTATCCCTGGATGCGGAGAAGGCGTTCGACAGGGTCCAGTGGCACTACCTCTTCTCACTGTTAGGGCACCTACGTATGCCAGAAACATTCATACAGGGAATAAAAGCACTTTACACAGAACCACAAGCCCAAACAGCGGTACCGGGGACAGCACCGACTCCGTTCAAGACTGCCAACGGCACCAGACAGGGCTGCCCCCTCTCCCCCCTGCTGTTTGTCCTAGCACTGGAGCCTCTTCTACTGAGGATAAGGGAGGATAGGAACATTAAGGGCATTAGGGCAGGAGGGGAGGAATACAAAGTCTCTGCATATGCGGACGACATCATGGTCACACTTGCCAACCCTAGGGGTTCCCTGCCACGCCTCCTCGACCTCCTCGAAGACTACGGACGGGTATCGGGCTATAAAATTAATCTAGATAAGTCAATGGCCATGCCACTAGAAATGGAGACAGCAGAGATCAATGCCATAAAAGCTAACCACTCCCTCAACTTTATAAGAACTGACATCAAATACTTAGGGATTAAACTAACGGCAGACCCGGAGAGACTGTATGAAGCAAATTACACACCCACATTACAAAAACTACGACAGGACTTAGAGAAATGGCAAGACAAGCCAATCTCATGGATAGGGAGACTACACGCGATAAAAATGACACTGCTACCTCGCCTGCTGTTCCTATTCCAAGCCCTGCCGATCAAAGTCACTAAACGGGACCTAACGACGCTGCAAAGACACATAGATAACTTTATATGGGCACAGAAACGACATAGAGTAGCTAGGCAAGTGTTATACCGACCGAAATCAAAGGGAGGACTAGGACTCCCAAACCTGTATCAATACTACTTGGCGGCTCAATTAGCCCAAATAGTGGCTTGGCACGCACCAGAGGGCTCACATCGATGGGTCGACCTGGAAACGAAATTGATGAGTACCGATCTCCCACAATTCTGGATATTGGTACCCAGACAAGACAGACCGGCCCTGCGGACCACCTGCCCGGCAATCCTAAATTCCATTCGAATATGGGACAATACAGCTACCAAATATGCACTTAAACACACACCTTCACCACTAACCCCGTATCTGAGGAATAAAGCGTTTGAACCCGGGCTGAGCGCACGCGACTTTAGGGGCATAAAGAGTACGGGGATGCAGAGATATGGCCATATGTACGAAGGAGACTCCTTCAGAACGTTCGATAGCCTGAAAACCTTAGCGCCCCTGACCACAAAAGATGTATTTCGCCATATCCAACTACGAGACTTTGCCAAATCCCCAGAAGTCAGAAAAGCTGCCCACACCCCAATGACGTTTTATGAACAACTATGCAATGCCGAAACCGTACAAAAAGGCTTAATAACCACTATATACGCACAACTCAGCGCCCCAAGTAAAGACACTAGAGCCCCACGTTATATTGACCAATGGGAGGCGGACCTGGGGGCGACACTGGAAGGAGAGGACATCTGGGAGGCGACAGCTAAAACCTCAGTCTGTGTATTGCACCAAGAACAGTCATATAAAATGCTCATGAGATGGTACACAACACCAGTGCAGCTACACAGAATGGGGAAAACCACGACTGACACTTGTTGGAAGGGCTGTGGTGGTAAAGGCACCTTTGTGCACATGTGGTGGGAATGCCCAGAACTAAACAAATACTGGAAGCGCATACAGACACTACTAACTGACGTGCTAAAGCACAGTATAGATCTAGACCCATGGACGGTTCTACTGTCCAAACCCATAGACGGCCTCCCTAGAAAAGAACAACAGCTCTACAATAAAATCACTCTAGCGGCCAGAAGGGCTCTAGCCCAGGCGTGGCTTAAACCCACATTACCTACAGACGACGACGTGATAGCTAAAGTTAAAGACACACACTTGATGGACAAACTCACAGCCCAAATTAGGAACACGGAGAAAACATTTCATAAAATATGGCAACCTTGGGAAGACTTTCTCGACGACTAAATCCTACAGAAGCAGGATAAGGACAGAGGCCTCGGAAAGGCCTAGATCCGCCGCACGCCCCAGCGAACAGCGCTCCCCTTCCCTCCCCCCCGTCCCACCTTTAGACAGGGGAATAAGGGGAAGAGGCACCAGGCAGAGCCCACACAAATCCCAAACCAACCAGTTACACCGCACCTACAAACTAGTATTACGGTTACAAAGCACAGCACAATGACCACTGACAAAGCACGACCCGTCACTAGGGGCCCTCCATGCAGCCACCCACAGCCACAAGAAACGATGACAAGGCACCGCCATCCGCGCCCACAATAGACCCCGACTTGGGATGGCTCATAGGACGGACCGATATTGAGTATAACCAACGGACGCAACTCCAAACCGACAGCACAACCACCATGACACGACGCAGACGGTCACATGACATAGCTCAGAGCACCTAACCGACAACACAACAATCAGTACCGCCGCACGCAGAACAGCGGAAAAAAGACTTAATATACTCAATGTGAGTCGGTTTGAAAGCGTTGCGAAACCCTTAGTAAATACCCAGAGATTATTGTATCCAGCCTTCTTATGTGGCACCGTTGTGCTCCTCGTTTTCTTTTTTCTTTGTTTTTTTTTGTGTTGTTTGTACTTTTTGTATATTTTGTATTTTCTATACGGGCAAACACTGCCCCCCAAAAACCGACACAGAGCGGCAAAAACCAATGTCTCCTAACTGATTAAACACTTAACCACTGTTGAAAGCTAAGTAACACTGTTTTGTGATCGGCCCCTGCGTGAGCCACTGTATTTTGCTATGCTGCATTCTGTGTCGAATCAAAAATAAAGAATTAAAAAAAAAAAAAAAATTGAGACATTTGAAATACACAGATGCCCATAGTTCTAAGTATTTATGATTAAAAGGAGCACTCAGCGCACCATTAGCACTACAGGTGTAGGCAGTGTTGTTATGGACCCAAGATTCATCATGCAGGTTTCATTAATTAGTGTCATAACACAGGGCTCGACAAATCCCAGGCGCCAGGGAATTTCTGCAGAGTATAACAAAGGTCTGGAATAAAAAAATAAATAAATATGGCTAAAAATATAGATAAGGCATAAGTGCAACTCTTGCAAAGTGTTTTAACAAAGTATAGAGAGCCCGACGTGTATTACGGCACTGTAGTGCTGCACCTTTATCAGAGGATAAATGAACACAAACACACTGTGGAAATATAGAGTACACCCTGTTAGACACCCCTAGGCGCTGGCCCATCACTGCTTTGTATATTCGGAGGTGTGTAACTAATCATGTTCTCATCTGAAAACAGTGTGCATAAAACATACTGTGGCCAATAGAGCTGCAGAGGAGGTGCTCCCATCTGTATTGGGGTATGGTTAGTATTGACTGTTTAATTAAGGTGGAAAATTAAAACACGGCTTGCAAGGAAGTGATAGAAGAGGAGAATTGGTAAAAGACTGTACACAGAGCAGCAGGCCCTACAATGGGTCCTGTCGGGGCCTTGGCCCAAGGTGGCACTCTAAGGGGGTAGCAATTTGCTGCACTCAAGGTGTCTGGACCAATTTTTTTTTTTTTTTTTATTTTTTTTTTTTTTTTTTACAGGTGGCTTCCGGCTCCGTAAGGGAACTGCACAGGGAGGCACCTGAAACTACAGGCAGCACGCCGGCCATCTGAAAGCCCCCCTCACCTGCCCTGACATGTATAAGAGCAAGGAGGGTGACACAAATCTGTGTGTGATCAGAGCTGGTTCTGTGAGGGCAGCAGCTGATTGGTGCTTGGAAGAGAGACATGGAAGTAGGGAGAAGGGGGGCGAGGAGAGACATGGAAGGAAGGATGCTGTCTGGTGCATTGGGTGCAATACCTAGTGATGTGGAAAGTGCTGTGGAAAAGGGCAGTAAAAGTGAAAGAGGAGGAGAGAACATGAGGTTAAGAGGAACAGAGGGGTCGGAGTAAACCAAGGTAAGGGAAAGCTAATTAAATGTAGGTGTACATATATAATGACCGTTGATGGCGTCAGCAAAAAAGGGCAACATTTAAGTATTGGACCCAGGCAGCACAATGTCTTGGGTCGGCCTTGCTGCAATATTTTTTTATGAAAAAAAAAAAGAAAATCAGTATTAAAATTTTTGCTGCTGCAAGAAAATAGTGTCTAGGGCTTGCATAATAGAGTGAGAAACGAACCTGCACCATCCAAATGGTACTGGAGTCAGAGAGGCTACAATGGACAGTGCTGGGTGGGGGGGGGGGCTGGGGGTTACACAGGGAATATTAGCAGAAGCAAAACCAGCCTGCAATACCTTAGGTAAATCACATGAATATTTTCCTACATAGAGTTAAAATGTCTATATTCTGGAGCCAACTAGGGAAATTGTCAAATCGGCTGGCTTTCTGGAAATCAAAATACCCACAAAACGAAAATCTAACCATATTATATACAAGGAACATCACATATTATACTCCCATAATGATGTCTGTAAAAGCATGGGGGAGTGGCCATATTAAAACTCGGTAAATTCACAAAATGTCAATTTTCTGGGCATCTTTGACCAGAACTGTATGTAAGAAATTACTGTTTTAGTGTACACAAGTGTGTTGGCTATGCAAAGTAAATGTTCTGTTTTAGTTAATTTTGCAAACACAAACTCAGTAGGGATGGGGTTAAAATGAAATATTTAAAAATCATTTAACATGGCATGCTCTGTTGAGTAACAGGTTTCTCTGTTGACAGATCCACTTTCATGCTCTTTCTTGACATTTAGGGTTTAAAATAGAATAGGCAATATAGCACAACATGTATGTTGGTGACTGTTCCATTTTCACTCATCAGTTGTGTTAACTGGGGTTAGGCATTTAAGAATCTTCACATCATCATTTATGGAAATACACAGTCACAGCTCCATGTGCACAATATTGATGGATTCCACATATTTACATTTTTTGCCAAGCTATGCCTTGGCAGATTCTCATTTAATGTTAATCTAAAGAATACATTTGAAAAAATTAAATAAAAAAGAAAAAAAGAGAACAAGAAAAAATAAAAAGGAGCATGACCCATAGTTAGCTACTGTGTTGTGAAAACAAAAATCTCAGAGGTGACAGCTCTTTACAAACTGTACAGTGGTGCACATGGCAGCAAAGGTCTTCCATGGAATGTGTTGTGACTTTGCAATGGTTATGTTGCTAGGTAACACACTTGCAATGCGCACTCACGGATGGTATCTGGCAATCCAACTGCAGAACAAAGGTCAATACCGCCATGGCTTATTGGGGACCAAGCAGAAAAAGAAATATGAAACAGAGATTCAAACCTGCTAACCTACAATAAAAGTGATTTGTATAATAAATAAAAATGAAAAGGTACACAGTTAAACACAAAATTGTATTTTACCGTTTAGCTTGAATTTGGTTTTGTAGTCATGTCTTGTGTTCTCATTTCTATGTTGGCCTTTTATTCTATTTACAAAAAAACTCAAAATGCAATGATATTATTAAGTACTTGTTACAGACTGCACCTTGGAGAAAATGACAAAAAGTGGTGTAGTTAAAAAATAAATGAAAATAAAATAAAACTGATGTATGATCAGAAGTAAAGATGATATCTAGAACCTCATATAGCTGTTCCAGCTATAGTGGGCATGGCAAGCGCTGTGCATATGCATTAGTTTCCCAAATCACAATGACTTCATCGGGGGAGGATCCAGACCCAGCGCAGAGGGGCAATGGTGCTGGAATCAGGTAAGTGGGAAAAACATTTTATTTAGCTTTGTATTTGCTGCTAAGGGGGAAGCAGAGTGCAGTATAATGTTAGGAATACAGTTTAGAATTCCTAACAATATGTTTTTTTGGTTTTTTTAACAGAGCAGGAGATAAGGAAGTTTAAACATTAGATCTCTCTTTACAGTAAATGTGTAGGAAGACTGACTGTGTAGGTCACATTAGTACCTTATTTGCGGTACTAACGTATGTTGCTTCACAAACTTTGCCCACTACTGCTGAGTCGTGGCATAGTGGCTTCAGATTTTTAGAATGCTTATGAAATCAGCATAGCCCTACATGCAATGTATGGATGAAGAGAAAGAGATCCTTTGGTGGCAGAAGTTGCGTTAAAAAGCGTAGTTTAACCATTGTTTAATCAATAAGCACACATTTATGAAAATGTAGTGTGGACAGAACAGAGAACAAACAACTTGTTACATTGTTGGGACCTGGCCAAAAAGTACTCACTGACAATGTGGTGGATTGACGTTACCAAAACAGTTTCACACATACCAAAATGACATCTAGAGGCTGTGAAAAATAGTAACAGCATTTATTTGAAAGATGGGATGCAAAGCTGGCACATAAGCATAAGGGTAAAACAGAAAATGATAACTGTGTATACACTTGTTTTCAGAGATACACAAATTAAAATTTTAATGTGTTTTAATCCTTAGGGATTGTTATTTTATTTTATTATTTTTTTTTTTTAACAAGTTTTGTAGTAATCCTTTTTTCATACTGGTTCTGAAATATCAGCATTCAAGCACAAATACCATGTATTATTAAACAGAGTAGGTGTGGCATTGATATATAAAAATAAACACCCTGCATATTGTATTTGAAAGGAACCCGATGGGCTGTGTAGCAATCTAACATGTGGGTATAAGCACAGTCGTAAGATTAGGCAGATTATGGTACGATACAGAGGTTGGCAATATGCTATAACTACAAAAGTAGAAAGTCAGAGTCACGCTATCTGGGGATACCATGTGTGTGGAGTTTACAAATATATAAATGTATGTTTTTGGGGGGTTATTCTGTTGAGGTGACCTGTTGTCTGGAAGCAAATTAGATTAGCGGTACTTGATCTGGTTGTCTCCTAGACACAGAAAACCTGGGTGGGATCTCCATTGTTCTAGTTAAAGACCCCTTGGTGGTCTGTCTATAAATATGTGCATTAAAACCTAATAAAGTATTCCTGTTTTCACCCTTTATCAAGTCTCGACTGATGTTTGGGTGGGCTTCTGTACATCACTGAATACTATGCGGGAAAAGGAGAGAGGCTTTGGCGGAGATACACTTGTCGGGTTTTGGAGCTCCGCCACAATTAGAATGAATAGAAGTTTCTAATTCAATCTCGCTTACAGCATAGGATGAGGGATAAGGAACATGCCATTTCCAGTTTCCTTACAAATATATGTACAGAACTAAAGAATGTTCGGCTTGCTGCAGTGCTTTAGTGGTTAACAGAGTATCACAGCGCCCTTATTTTAGTTTAAAAAATAAATAAACTGTGAGAATACCTCTCAGATGTGAAAGATGCACCCTGCATTCCATTGCCAGAAGATTACCAGTCATAATCCCCTGAAGGCATAAAAAAAAAAAAAAAAATTTTTTTAAAATCTCAGAAATATGTATATAAATGGGGAAGTCCCTGAATATAGATAATAGTTCAAACACTCCAGCATTATAAATACAATTATTTGTTGGAGTGTTCCATTAGTTTTGCTAGATAAGTTTTGAACTTCAATATTTGACCAAAGAAGAAAAAGTAATTGAGACTTTATATAGGCCAAGTTTTTCGGGAAAAAAAAAAGTGTATGCCCATCTTAGTGAATGTGCTAAAAGAGGAAACATAGGATTCCTTAGCGGTCATATTACCTGATTGACTTAAATCCTATTTCAACTGTGGAAGCTAAAAAAAAAAATAAAAAAAAATCTGTGTACATTTTTTACACCAATCAGTATTTAATAATATTAACTAAAAGACCTGTGGGTGCTCTGGTAACCAACATATGCAAGATGTGTATGCCTAGCAAGTTCTTCTCTTAATGTTTTGGAAGCCCTACTTCCACTAATGTTATAGTTCGACCAAGGCTCACTCACTGAACTAGTAGCAGCCTGCGTGGCATAACTTTTGGGGTCCAGTACAAATATTTAAATATCTAGAAGGTGATGTTCTGCATGAGTGAATGAAACCTTGGTTACCTTGTGTTTAACATCCCCTTTCATTCTTTGAATATCCAACTCAAGCTATGCACTATTAAACCTATACAAGTGGCATTGCTGTTACAAAAAAAAATATATAATAACTCTGCATGAGGCTGAAAAAAAGGTTTTTACACAAAGTGGGCTTAATTAATAAAGAGAGAATTGTTGGGGATTCAAAACGAAATATAAATTAAGCCCAAAGAAGCCGAACTGCAAAAGGTCTTCCATTCAGCTATGCTTCCAGTTTGGCTAATTTGACCGTCACATTTTAAATTCACTTTGAATTTAAAATAAATTCCTAACAATTCTCACTTTAGCAAATAATCTTGCATGTTTGTGGCAGCAGTGTAAGGGACGTGAATATGGAATATAGAACTAGGGATACATCAGGTTCTATGTGACACTGGTCCTGGAATGAAGAACTACCAGAGATACGAAAATAAAAATTTAACAAAAAGGTTTAAAAAAAATTATATAAGAAAGGCTGAAGGAAAATAAAAAGTGCAAAACATACAAAAAGACGAAAATCTTGTTGTAACCTAGGAGGAAAGTAAGGTATTTAAGAGGCCTTAACGACATCCCACAATCTGACCACTAATTAGCCATAATACAGACACATACAGTGTTTAGGTCAGAGGTGAAATTCAGCCTAATCTGAAGAGAACACAGACACTAAATAATCATTGTATTTTTCCCTCTTTATGGAAAGTTTGTGAACCTGAGCAGTTGTTTGAATGCATCAGCTATTAACAGAAGCAGGAAAGCAAGCCACTATGGCATTAACACTGAGCGCACACAGTATGTCATGGGATTAAAGATGATCTTAAATTCCCTCAAACACAAACCTTGAGAGATCACAGCAAACCAATCAGTACCCGAAATTTATGAAGCAGCATTTAGCAACAGTAAAACTATGCAAACATGATGCACTATTCCACAAGTCACACGTGTGTGCAACATCGCAAAATGAAAACAGGCCTGGGGACACCATCACAACCTGACAGAAGCACAATATGTCACTGTGATATCAATATTCTGATGTAACCGTGGGTGTGGAGTTCCAATGTGTGACCTTCACTCTAGCAGTAACAAGACTGTCAAGCAATGCACTGAAATTCTGGGGCAAAGTTGGCTAACCTTTGTATCCCAAATGGTTCTGAAATTCACATGGCAGTGAATGTCCCGTGATCCAGCCAGGCTTTGTCTTTACAATGGCTGAGCATCATAGGAGACATAATTCTTTTGGAAACCAAACATCGTAAAATTCAAGAACATGATTTTGATGGAAAACATTTTGGTTTGAAAACAATATAGAAAAATGCAGTTTACACTACAGAACCGAAACATATATAAAACCAAAGTAAATATTTGCAAATGAGCAGAGCAGAACCAAACAGGCGAAAGTGTTTTTCTTGACGGCATTACTGGTTGGCAATTTTTTATCATTTATTTAAGAAAAAAAAAAAATTGGTATTTAAAGCAATTAGCCATTTAGAAGCTAGAACCATAACCTAACACTAAGAGATGATGTCTAACTTTTAGTAACGTGCTTTAATATGATGAAACACAAGCCCAAGATGGGGGGGGAGGGAGTAAAAACTAGAAGCATCTCTAACGTACATGTCGGTTACACAGACTGCTTGCACACATATTTCCCCCACAACAACCCTTTTGCAAGGAGGTTCCCGATAAACAATGGTATTAAAATCCATATACGTAGAAAACCTTTACTGAATCAGCTGCTGCCATTGCCAAAAGCATATGCAAGACTCTCCTTTTAAATGCCATGATGGGAGAATTACTAATCTGCTTAACTGTAGAATAAGCAGCAGACAACCAGGTGCAGTACCTTCGATACAACACACAAACATACAGCTGTAATAAAAAATAAAAAAAATAGAGCCACAGCAACAGCAAAGCATTGCCAATGAGGGGCACTCAAAACGGTGGAAATGGCTAAATTGTTTAAAAATAAATAAATAAATAAAAATAAGAGCTCAACACTTATTTTTTATTTTTTTAAATTCAAAATGACCATAATGGAAAACACTGCAGGTTAATATGATTTTCTTGGCTTAACTACTGCATTATTACAATTCTGCAGCAATTTTTACAGCAGTCAGACAAGGAGGACACCATGCATCTTATAATGCCATCTTAACGACATACACATAGTGTTTGATGACTTCCATACACATACATCTGGAAAGGCAAGTTTACTTTCGCTGAATGTAAACTTGAGTTAAGTGGGTTATATAAACAAGTCAGGAGTGTGTCCTCTTGGCCTGAGAAATTACAATACGGCTGATCTGACCAAGAGTCGCTGTTAGAATTTCAACCAACCGTTTACTGTTTTTTTTAACTGCTCTGTAAGCAGAATCCCTATTATTATTATTATTATAGGGGCCTGCACCTGTGGAAATCAAAGCTTTAGTCAAACTAGAAATGCAAAGTGAAATGTTTAATGTAATCTTGAATTTAAAAAAAAAAAAAAAAAAAGTTAGATCTTAAAACCAAAATTGATCTTTATTAGAAAAGGTAAAAAAAAAATATAAATAAATAAATAAAACAAACAGTGCTTAAATACGAATTTCTCCCTCTTTTGGAATGTTCGTATGAGAACACAGCTATAAGATGTACATTTGTGAATTACATCTATATTACCATCAATAAAACTAAATATTATATGCATTGCATGAGTGTATATTTACATAAATGCACACATACACACTAGAACCTATACTTTTATGATACATTATTCACAAAAGATGGAAGACGAAAGGTTAAATGGTCATGTAAAGGCTTAATTTGCACCTTTAGTGCCATGTGCCAATGAAGTGTGAAACAAAAGTTCATAAATAAAAAAAATAATAAAAAAATGATAAATTACTAAAACACATACTTGTTAAAAACAAGTGAAATTATAAATCAGTTATGCGCACAATGCGTTTAACCATTTCACTAACCATGATTCATTGCTTGTGAATAATCGAAGCTTAATATAAAAACAAGCAACCATGTCCCAGCATGCAACCAACGTCACACTCTGGTGATGGGGAAATACAACCAGAATACAAAACAGGCCTGTTACGGGATTTAGAGGAGGAAGAGGTTCAACCAAAAGGAAGAAGCAGGGAGAAAAATACATATGTGTGTAATAGATTGTCAACATAGCTGTGCATTTATTGCCAGTATCCGGTACCCAAATATGAATGCATTTTAATCAGATCAGAAATTGTGTGGTTGTGATGGGAATTTAAAAAAAAAAAAAATTATATATTTGAAATCACTAAATAGCATCTTCCTGCTTTAATCAACAGCTGGGAATAATGTACATTATAAATCCCAGTATCCTCTGCATGTCAAGCATTGGGAAATAAAAATACAATTTCGAGAAGCCTATAATAAAAAAAAATCTGAATAATAGTTCCACACTACTTTAACACTTTATTGCATTTTACGATATAGGGTTAAATCAACAGTGCCAAGAACTTTTCACCACTCTGGGAGTAAAATGTGGGTGCAATACCATGCTACATTAGATTATTTTTTTCAGATTTTAACTGTGACATTGGCTGAGAATGTGTTAACCTTTCACTGCACTTGGGGCTGAATTTTCATTGCAGTCCAGTTTTGCAGCCTACTACTACACAGCCTGCAGAAAGACACCGTTAACCCTTAGATCACCAGCCACAGGTTACAGCTTTTGCAAGGATTATAATGAATTATTGTTTATTTTCTGCATGGGATACGTGTTTCCATATCAGTACAGTAATTATTCATTATTACCTGCATGGGATACATGTATCAATATCAATACAACAGAACCCCCAGACGTTCTAAAGCAACAGAGGTGGTCCTTACCTTATTGGAGGCCATCTCACTGACAGAGTGCCTGGTCTGTAAAGTCTCCAGCTGGTCCAAGCACCAGTCCAGCTCCTCCAGGGTCTCGCTGGCCAGCTTTTGATAGGCCTCCTCTGCGAAGAGATAGGGAAAAGGATGCTGAGTTTTCAAACGTTTGACAGGGCTAACCTCAAACTCTAAAGGGTCCATCCTGCCATACATTTCCATGCTCGGATGACCACGGCTCATACATGAGGGATCCTTCATAATGTTAAAAAAGACACCCTGGAGAGAAAAAAGGCTCCAGTCACAGCCCAGGGGTGCCTTGTTATAGCAGTCCACTTGGTGGGTCACAGGCTCCGATCCAACATATGCTAGGAAATCCCATTAGCCAGACATAGCCTGGACCCCGTGCATGAGTGATACAATGTTTATTCTGCAGACAGTGAATTGATGATTAAATTCCCTGTTCTTCCTTATCCTGCCTGCAGCTTCCAGCATGTGAGCCTGGGCTGGTTATTAACATGAATCAGCTGGCCATTCTGATGAGCACGTTTCCTGTCTCCTCCTCTCCTCTGCCCTGAAGCACAATGCGAACCATAGCTTCACATGGATTAAGGGGAGAAAAAAAATAAAAAAAAAGTCAAGGGACTCCTTAACTGGGGCTGCTGCGTCTTCAGGGGAGAATCCAGTCAGAGCCCAGACTTCAATGTGGCAGGCTCATCACCAGCCAGATCAGGGAGCCTGCCTGCTGCTTTCTTTGAACCAAAACCAAAACCTGGAGACTTGCTATGGGGGAGGGAAGGAAACCCTGGTGTGGAGCAGAGACAAGGATCCCTAACACACTGCACAGTCTCCCTGTCCTCTGGCTACAGATAAAGGAAGATCTGCAGCACGTCTCAAACCAGAATCATACATATATACACACATTATATATAAAAATCACAATTTCATGTACCTGTTGTAAAATTTAAATTTAATTCATTGCTGACATCACATCACTTTGAGATACCCACTTTCTGCCAGAGAGAAATTAGACCATTTAAAATGAGAATGATGTATTTATTTTAAAATAATTGTTATTTTTTTTTTTTTTTACTGGGCTAGTTTCAAAACAGGGTATTGTTGAGGAAAAAAAACAGGGAAATTTCACATTAAAAAGTCAGAATAGGTAAGTTTAAAAAAAAAAAAATTTCCCCCATTTTGCCAACTATAGTCTGTTGTTTTTTAGTTTCTCGCTTTGGTGAATAACCTTGAATTTATAATATATCAATAAGGATATGAGAGAATTACTGTTAAATATTCTAGTTTGCTGCTGCTTTGCCAGATGAAAATTTAACACCAGGGCTTGATTTAAATAATTATATTAAAAAAAAAAAAGTAGTGATTATTTAACATAGAATGATTATTTAATAAAAATCTAAGCAAATAAATAAAAGGACAGGACGGGTGGGGTATATATTAGTTGTGATTTAGTAAAGTGAGAATTCAAAGTGAATTTTTGAATTACAAATTTAAGGTCAGCATAAACAAAGCTTAGTTTATCAATAATTACAACTAATTTGTATAAAAGCAGCAACAACACCACCACCACCACCACCCCTTATGCCCCTCACAATGAAAGCTTAGCTTATTTAGGGTTTTTTCACAGTTGTACTATATTTAACTGACATTTAAAATACACTTTGAATTCTTATTTTACTCAATAACCCTGAGTTAAGTAAATAGAACAGACGTGTAGAGGATAAGCCACAAGGATAAAGACTTTATTTTAAAATAAATGGAGGTGTGTACTGTAACTGTGACTTGTATTTAACCAAAAACTGCATAATTTAGTTTAAAGTTGCTGAGAAGGGGAAAGTCTGCAATTAAGTTATAGCGACAGGGTGACTATTCAATATTGCCTTTTGCAAATTAGTTTTCAACAGAATTTAGGCCAAAATAGGATTTATTTTTTCCAAAATTGTATATATTTAGTCAGGTTGCATGACTTGTTTTACAGAACCATTCACAGTGTTAATAAATATCATGCCTGTGTGACATTTCTTAGACTATTTGTGGTCAATACTGATGTTTATTATATGTGTATATATATATATATTTAATGCAGTTATATGAAGCACTTGTTTAAACTGTAAGCCTTATGACAGGGTCCACACAAAGTAATAAATCAGTTTATGCATGTTAAGCTAACATTTGTACTAGAAAATGACTTCTATTGCTACACAATTTGCCTGAGCAGGTGCAATATGAATGTAGAACAATATTAATGTTAGGCCAAAACAGCAAATCTGAAAAATATATCCAAGATTATAACTAAAGTGTGAGTAGTTGAGGAATCACCAGGCAATTGCAACTTTTTCTCCAAAACAGCTGGGCCATTAAACATAGAGAGTTATTTGCTAAACATAAAGTTGCTGAAAGTTAGAATGCAAATGTTAAAATGTAGGCTAAAGTATCCCAGCTGTGACAATAGTTAGCATTTCTTTCCAGATAAGCTATTTTGTCTACATTTTGACATTTGCATTTGAATACATAACAATTTGATGTTTACTGACTCACTTAACGAATATTTCCTAAACTTTGCAATTCAATAGTAAATTCCCAATAATTCATAGTTCGATGCACAAACTAGTATGCCTCTTATTTGATATCTGAACAATTTTTTATGTTTGTATTTGTACTCACTGCAATTTATAGGTGCCATATTGCAAATCTGATCAGAAAGTCTGTGGGCTAATCCCCTCCCCTCAGCTGCTCCTCCCTCCTAGCCCCACCACCCCTGGAGTAACTATAATTATACCCCAAGATGACCTCCCACCTTTCACTTCCTTTATCTCCCTTCTAATCTCTTTGTTTAATTATAAGGTTGATTTGAAATTAGAAATATGTTACCTTTGTTTTGTGTTCAATAAATAACATGTCCAGATTACAGAATATTAAGGTTTGTTTCTCACAATGTGTGAATTGAACAACTATGTTACAATTAATCTGACACTTATCAAATTGCTGAAATTTATACAGAATGACAATAAATTGTCATTATTTCTTAAAGGGACACTATAGTCACCAGAACAACTGCAGCTTAATGTAGTTGTTTTGGTAAGTATAGTCAGTCCCTGTAGGCCTTTTGCAGTAAACACTGCAAAGGGCAGAGAAAAGGCAGTATTTACATTACAGCCTAGAAACACCTCTAGTGGCCACGCCTCAGACACCAACTAGAGGAGCTTCCTGGGGCACTGCTGGAGACATTGAACTTTCCCCATAGAGATTAATTGATTCAGTGCATCTCTATGAGGAGATACTGGTTGGCCAGGGCAGTGTCTGGCTCTGCCCTTTCAGCCTACCTTGTTAGCTGAGATCACCAGAATTGATAAGCTCAGCCAATCCAATGCTTTCCTATTGACAGAGATCATTGATTCTGATGATGTCAGCCAAGAAGGCTGATCAGGGGCAAGGCCAGATGTGAGGAACCTCATGTGGAACTGGGAAAAAAGTGAGTAAATCACCTTTTGAAACTGAGGTAAGGGGGGTGACCACCTTAATGATGGTTTTAGAACTATGTCAGGAATACATGTTTGTGTTCCTGGCACTATGGTGTCCCTTTAAGTTACTGAGATGAGGATGTTCATATTTATAACTACATTTTGGGATTCCATCTGTTGTGGTCTATCATTCACTTTAAAAATCTGAACAGTTAAAACCAACTATTGGCAAATAACCATAAAAAGTGAACATATTCTTTAGGCAAACACATGCACAAACAAACCTATTCAGAGCTGTGACATTTGTGTAATTAAAAAGCTATTCTGAGTGGTTGTGATAATGCCAGAAGACCTTGGCATGAGCTGCCAACAGTTACAAATGTCCACTACTTTATCATAAGATTCCCCTTCCTCAAAATCACTCCAGTTATCTTACTTGTTCTTTCTCATGTCTCGAATAATATTCCACGTCTGCTACCAGTTTGCTCACTTCCTGACAAATATTAGGCACATTTCCAAAATCCTGCTTGCAACTTGACAAATGAAATATATATATATGTTATTTTAGCTTCCTTTGTAAATGTAATTATTAAATTTTGCATACACACTAACTTTGTCATGCTACATGTGTAAATCATTAACCCCCAAAATGACAGACTATGGCAACTTGTTATAAAGTGTACTTTACTCTTTTAACCACAATAAGCTGTTAAAGGGAACTATAGGCACCCAGAACACTTGAGCTCATTGAGGAAGGGGTGGTGCGAGGGAGCGATCGTGCTAGGAATAAAACTTTGTTCTGAAGTTCACTTGTTCTGAAGACAAAGCACATTGGCGTTGTTACTGTATACCTGATAGTGGCCATATGTAGAATTATGTAACGTTAAAGGGACACTCAAAGCACCAACACAAATTTTAGCTCAGTGAAGTGGTTTTAGCATATAAAGTAGTATGCTTCTGAAATTCAATGATCAATTCTTTACCATTTAAATGACATTGTTTATGCAGCCCTAGCCACACCTCCCCTGGCTAAGACTTACACAGCCTCCTTAAAGGGACACTCCAGTTATCCAGATGACTTCTGCCCATTGAAGTGGTCTGGGTGCCAACTCCCACTACCCTTAACCCTGCAGCTGTAATTATTGCAGTTTTCATAAACTGCAATAATTACATTGCAGGGTTAAGTCCTCCCCTAGTGGCTGTCTACTAGACAGCCACTAGAGGGCACTTCCTGGTCTATAGCACAGGTAGCTCAATTCCCCATAGGAAAGCATTGAAAAGCATTTTCAATGCTTTCCTATGAAGAGCTCTAATGCACATGCCGTGCATGCGCATTAGATCTCCTCAGCCAGTGGGCGGGATCATTCTCCCCCGCCGGCTGACGTAATGAAGAGGAGGAGCAGTGGCGACTCGAAACCACCGCCGAGGGACATCGGCGGGGGTCTCAGGTAAGTGACTGAAGGGGTTTTCACCCCTTCAGCAACCGGGGATGAGGGGTGGGAGGGAGAGGGGACCTGCAGTGCTAGGAAAACAGATTGTTTTCCTGGCACTGGAGAGTCCCTTTAAACACTTCCTGAAAACAGAGTCACAATTTTTACTTTCCCCTTATTGCAAAGTGACTTTAATTTAGACTTTCGGATCTCCTGTGTTGTTAACAGCCTGCAACAGCCTCTTCTGTGCAAATGAGTGGCGAGCCTGCAGAGACATGATCTATAAACCAAAACTGCTTCATTAAACTACAGT